TCGTACATGCCGGAGTACATTTCTTGCGTATTTCAATTCTTTTTCTCTCTCTCTCGACGATGATGTTCTCCCCTCGCAAAGAACGCAATTCATTAGGGGGAGAAAAAAGAAAGGCGATGGCGTCGCGGAAACTGAGACAAGTCATTTTGGGAGGTTGAGAGGGCTTTCAGTTTTATTGGAGCGGAGTCGTTCACCTGTTCGACCACGTTCGACCGCATCCAGTGGACTCTGAATATAAATAATGAAACGTATGAATATGAATGATAATCTTCTTGTAATCAGTATTAAATAATTAGGTCGTTAGATATTATATTATATACCAGATGTCTCTCATAATCCCGAATCTATTATTGTTAAACATACAAATGATATTTACATGTGAATTATGATGCAAAACGAAATCAGGTCACAATCAAATCTCTATTTTATAAATTAGATTTCCCTTTTTGTAACATATAATAAGTTCTTTTCTCGTCGAAATTTTACCTGTTTGTAGTGTAGAGATAAGTTTAGTCTAGTTTTACATTAAACTTCCTTGGAATTCTTATTAGCATTACTAAACAAAAAAAAGAATAAATAAATTTTAGAAATTTGACAACTAATGTTAATAATAATCACAAATAGATATTTTTTAGGGATCTTTTGAATTTATTAGAATCTGAAGAAACATTGCCGCTTGATATCGAGTCGAATAAGTCGTACCGACACCAAGAACACATCCAGGGGACTCGACGGGTCAATTCGGCCAATGGCACTCCCCGTTTTGTTATACGCGCTCCAACACTCCGTACCGCGTTGCACATTCCGTTGACATCGTCGTCCGCCCCACGTCCCTCCTTCGCGGTATTCGAACGCATGTGCGTGCGTGCGTGTGCGGCGTCTTGGGGGCCCTCTCGGGGGGATAAGAGTGCGTGCCTCCCGGCAATAATAACCATTAAGGCGTGAGAGAATGCGGGGGCTGACGTCATCCATTCAACATTCGTGTGCCCATCGAACGCTGACAAATGCAGCCATCGCGAGCGTAGTCCGTACGTTAACGCGACGTCGACGCGTGTAACTCGATTGTCACCAGCCTTGAAAGAAGATGATATCGATTCACCGGGAAAATAAGAGACAGGTTTCAATATTTCATGCTACCTGCTTGTAGCTTTCAAAGAAAAACCGCGAGCGTGACTAATGATATAAAATACATACGTAGTTAAAAAGGCACAGATTTATTTCGTATTTTACGTTTATTCCGTTGCGTCTAATTGTCGTAAATTGACCGGTGTTGGATTTGCGAAAGGTAACTTCGCTTTAAGAAGCTTAACGTGGCCTTCGATATACTCGCGGAATGTTGGCACAGAATTGCTAAGCCGGCTTCCGGGGTGAGGCAGAACAGCAACTTCAAGAACAATGCTTCTCTTTATTGTAGAATCTGAACTTGTGTCAAGAATTTCGTATATCTTCCACCCTCTCGGCACGGTACCGCTTTCCCACGAAAGGGAAGTGAGGCTTGCCGGAACAAACAAAGACACGGATAGCCAACCGCGAGGGAGAAAGACGCGATCGATAAGAGGAACTCCGAGATCGTTAAGACGTTTCCTCTAACACCCCATGTGCTACCAAGCTACGTCTTTCTCGGCAACCGACGAATGATCACGAAATACGTGCGCCTTGAGACTCTTCTGACTGTGAGAAGACTTGCGGGCCGACAAAAAATCTCCCTAAGATCTACTTATGCGTATAAGAATGTTAAATTAAGGAAAATAGATCTTTATCGATTCTTATTATTTTTTTACCTATTTGTTAATCTATATTTTATTCTTAAAAAAAAAAAAATGTGAATCTTGATTTTGTATCAGGGATCAGATTTGGGGAGAGATCTCGTTGCACCTTGCAACTCGAGGATTCTTGTTTGCATCTATTTTACGTGGAATCCGAATGGCTCCAGCTGCACGGGGATCTCGTAAACGGAAGTCAGCTTTGAGCTACGATCCAACGAACCCGCACGGTTCTCCTCTTCCTCTTCCTCCTCCTCGCCGAGGAGGAGTTATTTTCGACGCTCGCGTCCCGCGGATCGCTCGATCGCTGTAACACTAACCGCGGACGCACCCTGACATTTTCGCGTCAGGAGGAATGTTTTCCGCGCCTCTCGATGTCAGTAATTTACGGTCAAACCGTTGATTTGTAGGGCGAAACTCGACAGTCCGTCTCGTCCTCGTTGCGCAAACGCACGTGAGGACACCGCGACGGGATGACGTGTCCCGCAGAAGCAACGTGACCAAGATCTACCCCGTTCTTTTTTCGGCTATGCTGTCATGGTATGACATCAGCAGGGTGAAAAAGTCCGCGATGGATTTGCGGTTTTCACACATCCGTTATTCTCCGCGAATCACGTCGGCGTTGCTCGAATCGTTAATGGAAATGCGAATGAGGCTGGCTGCGGTAAACGCAGAAGCTTTTCTGTTTCGCAATCTGATGAGTCGCTGCATTTCCACGTTGATTTACAACAGAAAAGGCTCGACTCTCCATCTCTAGTTCTGACATACATAAATGTATGCCGGAACTGTCGATCAAACTTCATTCAGTTGCGAACTCTTTGATTTCGGGATAGATTTATTTTTGAAAAAAAAAATTGTTTTGGCACGTTTCTCTTTTTTAATTAAAACTGCTCTTTAATAAAATCTTATTATTTATAATTCTAGCTTTAATACAAAGGAAGAAAAGAGTCTGAAGGGAAAGATATTGTTTTGTGATCTAGATGCAATTTTGCAATTTTCTACGAAGGTATATTTCGAAGTAATAAACTTACTCAGGAAACAAGGTACGGAAGACAAATTACAGGGCTAGGTTAAAAATGCCAGATCTTAGCGAGACCATCAGCGGCAAACCACACCTTGATGTATTTCGTGTACCTGATCAATTTAAATCATTGTGCCGTTCCTTCGATCAATGTTCTCAATCTCGCCTTTTAATTAAGGTCGACGTTCCGATGTTCTACTTCGTGTTTAACAAACATGTGTTGAAACCGCTATTTATACGTGCCAAAATGAAACATAATTCTAGCCAGAGAAAAGTTTGATTTTAACTAACAAGAGTTTAAAAAAATAGAAAATTTGTATTTATTTCAATTTTTATTATAACGAATCATATTTTGCGTACATTTATTATTTAAAATATGCAATTTTTTACTCTATATATTGATACAGGAACTATGCGTAATGAACATATATACATACAGGTAAATATAAATATGCAGCGTGATGAATAGGAAATTTTACAAATTGCCAGCACGAGATCTTTTTGGAAAATAAAGTAGGTAGACACATTGTGAGTGACATACATATTCGTTGGTGCGCACTGCAAAGTGAATATAAACTATGAACGCAATGTTCCACGACATTAGACTGACTGAAAGAGAGTGCGTGAGTGCCTATGGAGCTTATGTACATGGATTAAGCAATGGGACACCGTGGCGCCTATTCACGTGTATAGACATAGTCTCTGCTAAGGAAATCTTGGGTGGAATCATGGGGACGGGGGTTGCAATCTAACTGGAGCACAGGGGTGGTACCGGCATGTAGTAGTCAGCCATTAATCTAGATTCATAAACTTCTCCCCGCATAATCGCTGCAAATCTCTCGTATATCATTTTCCTCGTTTATTCATTTTCCTGAGATAATATGCAACTATTTTCAAATATAAGAAGAAGAACAAATATGTACAATGTACAATATAGATATTTCAAGATTTTTACGCAAAGATGCCTAATAGTTGCGGACAATTATTATTAAATATAGTTTCCATTATAATGTCGTCCTATTAGTTAATTTGTATAATGAGAATTATTATTCAGTGTATTTATTTGATTCTTTGCTACATTGTCTTTATTTTTTTTTTGTGCTTTGAAGAATACGAATGCCCACACACTGTGCTCTTTGTTAGTCCATGCTTAAATATTTAATTTAAAAATTTATTCAATTTTAATAGAAATAATTTGATGAAAGTGTAACAGAATTTAAAGAAATTCTAATACGATTCACATATATTACAAGTTCACTATATTTTATTTTAGTGAAACACTTTATTAATCGATTAAAATTGCGACAGGTTTGCATCGACGATGCCAATCTCGACGAGCAACGATTTAACGATCTTAATTCGCGTAATTGCCGGATGCTTCTTGCCGTTTACTCGACTCGGCTGACCATCGAGAGTCAGGTTCGACCCATTTTTTCCTCGTGCACAAGGTGTGGTTACATCGACTAAAATCAAACAGTGTGTACAATGCCTTGGTGTGGAAACGTCGTGCTCTGTGAAAAACGAGGCAAACTGATAGCGAACACGCAAAGAGCTCTCTTCAGCCAGGTTTAATCGCGATTTCTATTTCGCGTCGCTGGCGAAAAGTGATCAATGTTCCGTGGTCCTTCTTCCGGTTGCTGAAAAAAGGGATACTCTGAAGGGAAATTATTGGAAAATCGCGGAAAACCGCGTATGCTTGTATCCCGCGTTTATGCTCCGTCCCTCGAAATCAAGCTCGCGCGATCGTGCACCAGAAATCTAATTTCGACCACCGCACTATCCCTCTTGGCCTTCGGACACGATGGCCTGCGGTTTTCGATCGACAACCCGATCGCTGATGAACGAGTTACGGGCCAACCACCGGCATTCGCGGTCCAGCGAATTAACGGTTTTGGCGATTGAACTGTCGCTTCTCAGGAAAGCACGATTGATTTCGCATTAATGCTTTGATACCTCCTTGCCACACGAATGATTTTCAGAATGTTTCTATTACATAATTTTATAGAACAAGGATACTTTATTGATTTTATCGCGCAAACAACCAGTAACGATAATTTTTCCGGGATTAAATTTTATCATTTCTTGGTTAATCTTGATACATTTTAAAATTAACGAGTCGTAAACTTAAGCAGTTAATGTAAGCTTGTTAAATTAGAAACTATGTTTTTCTGCGTTTAAAAGCCACTTAAGTCATACTGTGTCTTCTTCAATTACAGGCTTGTGCAAACCGACTAAGAGTACAGAGGAACTGGATTACGAGGATGATACTCCTTTCGACGACGAGGAAGAGGAGGACGAGGACGAAGAGGTTGACAATACTGGCACCGCCGAGGCGCCTCCGCAAATCTTATCACAGGCAATGAGCATTCGCGTAAAAGCTGGAAGCACCGTTAAACTGCCTTGTCAGGTGACCCACACAGGTTCGTAGAACAACAGCCAACGATTATTATGCGCTTTAAAAACGTCTCTCTATCTTTTCAAAATTAATCTTTTAATTTCTGTCAAAAGTTCGGTATTTTGTCAGACTTTTTTACGACAAGGAAAATATTTGTTGGTGAGAGAAAATGAAATAAAATAATTAAGGAACTTTAATTAATTCTCTGTATGCGATTATCCCCCGTGTGCTCTTCGTTAAGCTTATCGCGGATTATTTCAGAAAATTACGTGGTCGCGTGGCTGAAGGACGACAAGTATCTGTACGTCGAATCGGTGGCGCATACCGAGGACTACAAGAGGATCGTACGATTGCCGGATAACACCCTGGTGATCTTTAACGCGTCGGTCGCGGACACCTCCAACAATTACAAATGCAGTATCTTGCGGAAGCCCGACCCGATAGATTTGATTCACCGTCTGCTGGTTGACGAAAGACCGCACCAAGAACCTGCGACCCCACCGCCGCAGCACTCGCACAAGGGGATCATACGCGTGATACCCTCGAGGAAGGTCGAAGTGAGCCAGGGCCACAGTATCAGGCTCGGTTGCGAGACTGACATACAGCCGCCGCCCGAGATCAAATGGTTCATCGAGGTGAAACGTCATTAAAAATATCATTGATAACTCTAACACTATTTGCTCACGCTGTTTTTATCACTGTAAAAGCATCGCAATGTTCATAATAATTACAGACGCTAAATATAGGAGGATCAGGGTTTTAACAAGTTGGAAGGCAAAGCTGATTCCGTCGTTTCTCTTGTTTTAGAACAAGAAGGTGGATGGTTACGATCCCGACGTGATCTTGGACGGAAATTACATCACGATACACAGAGTGAACGAGTCTCATAGTGGCATGTATCAATGTCTCGCTGAGGATGGTTCGAAGATGCCGGCAATGGAAGCGATCACCGTCGTCGTGCATTGTGAGTTAATTGCTCATTCTCGTTTGACCGGCGTGGCTCTCAGAGTCGTCTGTTTAGCATAAGCATATTGACGTTAGCGATTTACGCGTTCCGCTTTCGTGACAGACAAACCTAAGATCGAGGTGGAGAGAAGCATAGTCTACAGCGGCGAGAGGATGGAATCGGAACTGACGTGCATCGTGAGCGCCTATCCCGAGGCAATCGTATCGTGGCATAAAGACGGCAAGATACTTACGCATAAGAAAGGATCGATAGTGATGCATCACGGGATAACAATGAAGGGCAACAAGACCAAGCACGTTTTGAAGATCTTGCATACCTTAGTACGGGACTTCGGCGAATATAAGTGTCGCGCGCAGAATACCGTTGGTCATGACATTAAATCTATTACCTTAACAGGTATTAATTGCTATTACATAAAAAATATATATATATAATAAATTTGTTAATTAAAATAACTTATAAATGTAAATTATTTAAAATTTAAAACAAATTATATAAAAAGAATATAAGATTGACATTTTTCTGTGTAAGATTAATATGAAAATATACAAATGGTTTTGTATAACTTTCGTGAATTGCTGGAGAACTCAGATAGTAAGTCAATTTTCATTTACAAAATATATTTTAGGAGTGCCCTCGCAAGCGATGGTATATGGCGCCGAGATGACCGATGATGATGCAGGAATTATTCTGAAGTGGCGTCTGGAGAGTTACTCACCGATCAGCGAATACAAGGTAAATTTGCGATGTGCATCAAGAATATATCATTCTCTTTTTAGAAGAATATTAGAACCTCCTAAAGTAAGGTATAATAGATACGAGATAATTTTTCTACTTACAGTTACAGTATCGTCGCAAGGGTGACCAGGAGTGGACGGTTGTCGAGCCTGAAGTCAAAGATGGTAAAGAAAACCAATTTCTCGTAGAGTATCCGATTCGAGAACTTCAGCCTGGATCTTACGAGACGATCCTAAAGGCTAGAAACGCATTCGGATGGTCTCTGGACTCAAAACCGCATACCTTTACGGGGGGTGCGTATATTATATTTTCACATATTTATGCTAATTAATGCAAATCTTATACGTTTATAAGTAATATATACATTTCTGCTTGCACAGTATTTTACTATAGATATTAATTAAATTGAATAAAAAATTGTTACAATACTAAAGACTTAATCAGTCGTATTAATTTATAATTGATTATTAAATTAAATTAGACAGGCGATTAAGTAATTTAAGGATAATTAAAGTATTAATATAAATAATATATGATATATAAACAGGTTACAAATATTAAATCTATTTATTTTCTTATTTCTTTTTTAGATTATCCACCTGATTTGGCGTTGAAAGGTACGCGAATACAATTTTTAACATTTTTCAATTTTCTTTTCAAAATTGGATTATCAAATGATCTTTTTTATCGACAGTTTTTAATTTTTTATTTATTTACAGAAGGAAATTCGGCAACTGTTCGATCTTCCGAAACTCTTCTAGCGTTGATCCTAGTCGTTTTATCTTGTGCCTTCACAAGCCTGCAACTCTTTACTTAAATCTAAAGTACATAGGTAAGTACAACGATAAAACGGTAAATCTATGAACGAGCTATAAAAGTTTACGACAAACTTTTTTAAATGACTGATTTATTTATAACGCAGATAATTTGCTGCAGCCAAAGCAACACCAGCAAACGCCATGGTGGATTTATTAGTGAAGGAACACTTAGGGGAGACATAGCTCACGTACACATTCTTGGTGCAAATTCCCCTTCTTACTAGGAGATATATTTTACGTATTATATATGTAACAAAATCTTTTCAAACATACGGGCATTACCGAGACACATTAATATACAATACAGTTTGTTTATAAAATTTTGTGATCAATATTGGCATACAACTCGCCTAGGTGTTCCATTAAGACGCCTTGTAAATGAAAAAGATGAGCATTTTAATTGTACTCCGTAAAATCACGAATAATTATTAAGGGATATTGTACTTTAAAATATATACATAATTTATATAGCTTTATCATATGCACATATACATGCATATATGACTTACGTACATGTATACGTGTGTATGTGTACACATAATATAGTATTCACTATACATGCGTAAGTTCACAGAGACACAACAATCATATTATTATAATTTATTTTTGTATGCTTAAGATTATTAGAAACGTGTTCAAAGAAGTCGCTTGGTGCCATGTACACGGGTCTACTACTTCCGAAAAATTATGTATAGAATCTGATCTGCTGTCCACAATGCACACGTGGAAAGAACATGTACCTAAAATAATGTAGTAGAAGAGAAGTTAATATTATAGGAACATATGCGATAATACAACGTGTATAACCGAGTCGACGAAGAGCATAAAGTTGGAAGCACTCATACTGTAAGTCGTACAAGAATTCTTCATTAACATTACGTCCCCCACGTTTCCGTATGTTTGCTCCCAAAAAAAGCGAATTTTTCTTTTTTTTTATTTACTCCTACGTTTCTCGAATATGTATAATGTGATGCGCGAGTAATGAATGTGACTGGAGCGAGTATGCGAGAGAATGACGTTCTGTAGTGTTTTCCACAATAGTTTGCTAGCTTTTAGCGCTGATATGTTGTTATATTGATTTATAATTAATGTTATATGCGGTACTATAAGTAACCATAATCGTATAAGAAACTGCCCATTTTAAAAACGGTGTGCTTGTCGTAAATATATTACAGCGTAATGAAAGCTCTTCTAAAGTATTCTGAACATTATTTACACAACACAATAAACCTATGTATGATTTTAATATTAAAGACAAAGCATCTTGTATTTTAAATATTTAAATAATCGTAAATATGTATAATTATATTTGTGTATTATTGCATGATTACTACAAAAGTTAGATTATTTTGTTTTTTATTGTCTAGAATATTATATATCTTCCAATGACAACAAAATTTTTAATCACGTTTATAAAAATTACAAATATTAGGAATCACTATCAAAGCACGATTTTACACTGTACTTATTTTATTACACCGAGTTACATCGTGTTATTTTAAAGATTCTTTTTGTATCCATAATTTTACAAAATATAAGATTTATTTTTATAGGAATGAAAATGGCTATGGGGAAAGTTGCAACTAAATGAACATATATAGAAAAATTACATCTCTGTTATTCTCAGTCTATTTGATTATTAATTATTGAAAATTTTGTGAGTGTAGCAAATTTAATAATAACGAAAACGAATTATTTATACAAATTAATCGGGCTGAAATTGTAAAAAACATGTATTTATATCTTTTTATCTTTTGAAAAGTTGTATCATATATAAAAAAAAGCGTCGTTTTAAATTTTAGTTACGCAATTTTATCTTCAATGTATATAGATTTGAAAATTTACTTTAAAACATGTCGACAATATACAAGGAAAGTTGTTAGAGAGTCAGAATGCTTGTAAAACATTATATTAATACACAACACACCTGATATGCATATGAATATAGCTTCTTGTTGCCTTAATCAATGTAACATGTACAATCAAGAAAAACGAAAGATATATTAATTCATAAGATTATACTTGCAGATACATAATAAAGTAAATGAAAACGTACTGCGTATCTTATTGTAAATTATTAATAGTTCTTTGAGGAATAGTGTAAAAAAAATTTATATTATAACTCTACTACGTTTTATAGATACATATATCTACGAGACAATAATATTCGATTTATTTGACATCTATAAAAGAAAATTCATTTTAAATCAAATAAAATATGATTTGTTTTATTTTGTACTTGGTTCAACTCTCAATCACAATTCGAATACGTGTGATCTTCAGATTTCAAAATCTTCCTCGGCAGCTGGCAATATTACGGTCGTCGCAACCAAAGGTTTTGGATTTGCTTTCTTGCAGAGTAATATTTTAACTTTCCCTGATATTTGACCCTTTAAGTTTGCGCTAACAGCTAGTGGTATAGGTACAGCACTCGGTAGCAAGGGTAAATCTATCACACGAGGATTTACATCAGTGTCCTCGGCTCTGCAGAGAATATATAATTCCGCTGGGGACAAACCTTCAGAAATATTTGTCACTATAATACGAATCATGTAATTGGGACCCAAGCCGAGAACATTTGTCTCCAACGTGATAGGATTTGGTCCTGATGTTTGATTTTCGTTTAAATGTTCGGACGCTTGTTTGGCCGTTGTTAAGCGTAAGCGGAGAAAGCCTTGCTGAAATGTATTATGAATTTTCTTTGCCTCGGCTCTCTCCCTTATCGTTTGATCGACAAACAATCGTGTTTTCTTCGGTATCGAGAACTTTGACGTGTTATTCGACGACAAATTCGACACTGAATTGTTCGTATTAAAGTCAGCAGTGCGCTTCAGGATTTTCATGCATAAACCACCGCCAACAGTGACCATAGCTATTGTCCGTTCCTCTTGTCCCATACGTCCGTACTGCATTCATAAAAAAAGAATATATTATATTTATATTTTGCGTCATTTTGTAATACACCATGTTATAAAACTGGAATACCTTAAGAGCAGATACAGGCTCCATAATTTTCACTGTATCCACGTGATGTTTTCCATCATAAATGCGGATTCCATAGCCCACTGTGCTTACAGCTAACAAAGACAGCCCATTTTGCGGTACTGGTAAGCTAACTAGATCTAATATTATACCAGGAATATTGATCTGCCACAATTTTATTCCCTGTAAGAAATTTATCAGAAAGAAATCTAACATAAGCATTTGAAGTTATATAAAAATATTCTTTTTAAGCGTACTCTTTTTGAAAATCCTACTAAAGTACCATCCATAACAGCTACTGCCGCTCCTTCGGACGTGAGAGCGGAAATAGCTACCGCGGGCGCGGCCAATGTTTCCCAAAGTTTCACAGGACTTCCCCTCCTAATTGCTCCTATTTTTCCATCTCTTCCAATAACTATTATGCGACCGTCACCCGTCCATAAGCCGCAACTGGCAAATGCTGTTGGTGGCCACTCCAGCTTATGTTTATCCATAACTGAAAAAGCTCTGTATGGCAATTAAATAATATACGTACAGAATATGTCTGAAATATTTCATGAACGAATTTTTTCTTAATTGTGCAAGAAAAATACCTGGGATCTAAGACGAGAACTTCGCCAGCCTCGGTCCCTAATATAAGACAACTACTAGCGGGATCGTTCCACAAGTCCCTGCGAATTATCGCGATTGCCGTTAAAGCATTAGCTTTGACAAGCGGCACCCGTCTATACTGCTCTGCGAAACTCAATCGTAAATTATTATCCAAAGAAAGAAACTTCAAAGTACGAGGAGAGAGAAATGTTGCGCCAAGTTCTTTCAGTAACAGCTCCAAATCATCCGCGAGAGTCAGCACGTTTAATTCCTCATCTAGCCCACATTTGTGCCAAATCTGCGTCAAATTATTAAAATACTATTAGTGTCACAATATAATTATCGTACATAAAATTGGTTTAAGACGACTCTGTAACATTATTACTTTCTGTATCAACAAAATATAAATACTTCTCGTTCTTTTGGATGGGCATCAATGTGTGGTAGACAATATTTGAAAAAAGGTCTCATATTTTTGAAAATATATACGCTAGCCCCAGCTCCTACAGCAACCACAGATGATCGAGGTTCTCCATTTTCCGTATAAAACCCGACTACTCCACAGGGTGGTTCTACCATGTTATGCTCAGTTATCTGATCACCTCCTTTATAAACTCGTATCTAAAAATATGAGTAAACAATATATTGTAAATGAGTAAAATAAAAAAAAATAGTATATAAATTATTCAGAAAAGAGAATATATGAATATTTCTGTGTCACTTGCTGATTCTAATTTAATTGAAAAAGTTTAATCTTTAAGATTTATAAAGTCATGTCGAATACAAAATAATCTACTATAATTTACAGACAAATGCAATTATTTATTTCACTTTTTTCTCTTTTTCTCTCCAAATTCTTAATTTTCTTTTAGTGTTCTACTGTATGATACGATTAAACTACATATTATTCAATAATATATACAAACAGTTATCATATCATTTTCTTGTTATAATACACTGTACCTTTGTTGAATCGCTTCCAACTGGTCCTAGATCAGCACAAATAAGTCTAGCATCTCCATCACCGCTTATATCCAGCATATCAAGTCCACCAGGCAGACAAAATAAACCAGCACTTGGTTCCCAAAGTGCTTCCAACCAGCGGCTCATTCCAAGTCCTCCAAGAGATTTATGATCAGCTCTAAAAATATATATATATTTATTAAAGATAAAAATATAACAAATATTAAATAAAAATCACATGTTGATACTTCATAACCACTTATAAAAATATTTTTTACCTTAAACCGTGCATAATTCAAACTTTTATCATTTGCCGTTTTATATAATGATTTTTACAGCTTAATTACAGCTTATTTACAACTTAATTACTGAATTACATATTGGTTTTTTTCCTATTTATATCTAATATTATATCAACTATATACATATATTGCATATTTCAAACTGAGATTAAAGGTTTTTTTAACTTTTTACATGTTTTGTCAATTTTATAACTGACAATTTTATAAGGTGATAAACTGACATTCCATAAATAAGAGCATATATATTAGACATTACACAATTACAGAATGCCATGTGCTTTGTTTGTGTATTTGTTTCCATGGAGACGCGACGCCTGCCGGCCTGCCACTTTTATCCGCTGTTCAGTTCAGTTCAGTTTGGCGCTTTTGCCGCTGCACGGCCGCGGCGTTGCGATCGACGTAAGATTCTCTTGACTAAATTCCGATTAAGTTAAATCGACTGAAATCGAGTGATTAACTTTATCGAGCCGTATTTGTGGTATTTTACCAATGTAGAAATATGAATTTCTTGTTATTGGACACAGGGAAACCTGCCGGTTGAATTAAATTGAGAGGACGACCTCGATTAAGCTGTAATTTAGTTAATCAGAATTTAGTCAGGGTAATCTTCACTCTGAAGTTTGCCGTTCAAACATCAATTCAGTTAATCGGAGTTGGGGTCGTCTTCACCCTGAAGTTTGTCATTTGAGTTCGCGCACTTATTTCAATTCATCGTTCGTAGACTTATCCGACTTTATCGAATTATATTAGGCTTGTTTTTTTTTGTACACACATGTTTCTCAACTTTTCACTTTTTCTATCTAATGTCTAATATTATGTATACTTATTTCAGTTCAAGTGCTGAAATTTTGAGGGACAATCCCGATTCTCGACATTCTCATCGCTACTTCTAGACTTCAAATAAAAGTCCGGTTACTTTCGATTACAATAAAAGAACATGATCTCTAATGATTTTTTATTGCAACCTTCTCGCCTCTCGAGAACGTTGCTTTCCAAAGGAGGAGTGTCGCTTCGTCAACTGTTTTCGGGAATTGCTACTTCCAGAAGAATGTACATAAGAAATTCGAGAAGTCGGCAAGATTAATATGGAGGATAATTTTTTTCAACATTCTGAGAAGAAATTAGAGACATTATTTATGCCCATTGCCTTTAAATAAATGTTTAAATAAATATACACTTAAAAATTTATAAATTTTTAATAAATTGTTTTGTTTTATTAAAATGTGTCATTTTATTTAAGTATGTGGAACAAATATAATTTTTAATGCATATACAAAATATATAATGAAGTTATCAAACTCTGTAATATAATAAAATAATATTTTATTGGAATGAAATATATATTTTGCATATAAAATTACTTTATTGTTACTATTATGACATAATTTATATGACAAATAATCGATAAATATGTAATGCAAAACATTACGTTTATAATAACATTTGCATTGTTCATTTTTATATAATACTGATAATATTTGTGAATGTGTTTTAAAAACATGTCAACTACAATTGAAATTCTAAATCCATATAAGCAACATTTGTCACATTAGTAACATTCATATATATCTATATATATCATATAACACGTCTTCAAAAATTCATAACTAGAACTTATGAAATATAAAAGAGATGTTATATTTATTAGTTATAGTTTAAGTTAACATTTAATTTTCCATAGCCATAAACACATATGCACAATTGAGAGCATTGATATTATTCAATGCGTTTGCATTCACAGTCTTCATTTCAATTCACTGTCTTTTATGTTTATCGCAGAATAAAGTGATTGAACTAGGCTGTTAACTATATAAATGAAAAGATACACGTCGTAAATATTACAAAGAAATTGATTGCCAAGTGTAAACAGACTAAACGATATTAATGCTTTTGATTGCACATATCGTATTGTACATATCTGTACTACTAATTAGGAAGCCCTCTGTACGTGTTGGTGTGGGGGTGTGTGTGTGTATTTGCGTTTGCGTGTGTGTACTGTACATATGTGTAACATATTATACATATGTATCTGTAGGTAACAAATGATAGACGACATCTGATTGTGAGTAATGACCTTAAAACTATTTGAACACAGCCAACAACAGTCACATTAATTATACGATATTACACCTACGCACAGAGTGACATATAAATTATTTTAAACATACAGCTATACTTCAAAAATTACACAATTAATGAGATCGCAAATTGAGATTTCTGGATAATGGCATATATAATTGATAATTAAATAATGATTATTTTAACGAAGTAATGTTGATAATGGAGATGGTGGTAATGATGGCGATGGAGGTCTCGCTGCAAGAGTTTCCAATTCGCTACAATGAAATTGACATACGGAGCTAGATGTGCTTAGAGTTGATTCTGAAAGCATTCCTCGTCCTTTATAAGTTTTCCTCGCTCGATTGTTATCTTTGTCGGTTTCAACCGCACCACCATCCTCATATTTAGAAAAACAAATTGATAATATTTTCAATCTGTAAAAAATATAAATTAACCATTGATAATATAATTTATATCTTGTAATACTTAATCGTTTTAGTCTAAAATGTATTTGTTATAAACCTTGCATGATAAAAACTCATTACCTGGGATATTCAAATTGAGCAAAGCCTGAAGATGGTCCTATAATTGCTAACATCGAGCATAAAAATAAGGTCGCATATATCCAACTAATGGTCATCACGAGTAATAAAAAGATACCGATTTGTATATATGCTAATACATGAGAAGGTAACATTAGAGCGCCTGCAGCTCCACTAGTAATTGCTGCCATAAGTGTAGGTCCACCCATCTGCTGCAGTGCAGTTTTTACTCGGTCTATTTTCTTTTCAGAGGTACATGCTTTATAACTCACAGCGTAATGTAAGCTGAAGTCTACAGCAAGACCTAATGGAACAAAATGTCGAAAAATATTATCAATTTCATAGATAATTTAAATTCGTCTTTTCATTGTTATTTACCAATTGTTGTAGATATTGCAACACTTTCTAGAATATTGAGTGTCCATCCAAGAAGAATTAATACTGCAACGGTAACGATTATAACAGCACCAATAGCTATAATTGCATACAGGCTGATAAGAGGATTTAACGTCACTAGCGCTAAAACTATCAGAGCCAAAGTTAGCGACAGTCCTATTGCCCATATTGTTCCTTGATACAACGTACGTTGAAGCTCATAAAATTCTAGATGGCTGATAAACCATCCACCTCTCATTCCTTTAGGTGCAGTTCGTAATTGATTCTGCATCCAACTTTCAACCTGATTAAATTAGAGGATTAAACTTTGCTTCAAAGATTCAAATTTCTGCAACCATTATTAATGCACATGTAATTGTTATCGAGTAAATAGTACTTGCCTCTTGAAAAAATTTATCCATATTTCCAAATGAGAGACTATATGCATATGTGCTATCGTATTCGACAACAAGGGCTTTAATTTTAGGCCTTGCTTTAATCGCAAGCGTATCATTTGGTGCTTGCGCAAACAAAGGTTCTTTAACAAATTTTGGACCTGCATAAGGTGGATTATCCTGAATCCACAAATAAGGCGTACGATGTAATCTCACGCTAGCTTCAGCTGCACATTGTTCCAAAACATCAGGTGCGTATGGAAATTTACTGCTCTCACAACATGGAGCATAGTCAATGTGAGAATCGACAGGATCCTTACAACGCCTTTTCATCCAATTACGTAATGGTTCGATGAAGCAGTTAGATAACATAGGTCCTATGGTATGGTGATAAAAAGGTTGCCTCCGTAAATTTTGGCAAAATTGTTCAAGCCATCGTTGAGACATTGGACTAGAAATATCAAAAGTTTCATCCCAATCTAGTATCCCCCTTTTAGTTGGGTTAAGATAATCACCATTATCAACTGGTTTTATGCCAAATACAAATCTCAATGGTAGAAGTTCACCATCTCCACCAACCTGCACGAATCAAGTATGTTATATACAATATATACGTTGTGATGCAGATAAATCTTGAAAATGTAAATAAGTAAAATATAGGCACCATTTCATATCGTTCAAACCAGAATCTCCGCGAGTATACTAGATCATATCGTTCGAATGGATGTTCATCATGGAATAATTGAAAATCCATATAATCTGGCAGTTGTAAACCTGGATAATGGAAGACGACACTGGCACACGCTATTGCTATAATCCCCAAACTGAGTAACCAAAACCATCGTAAACGAAGCACTAATCCAGTAAGAAAGGTGGTGAATCCTACGGTTACTTTATCTCCCAAAGATCGTACGGGACGAATAATTTTTCTGGTAATAAAATTGACAGGTGATAAAGTAGATAATTTACAATGCTCCGATACGACCACGCACGCAGGTAACCATGTGACCATCAAGAAGAAATTAGCGATAACTGTCATTCCTGAAAACAAACTGTACAAAATTTATCAATGATATATAAAAGTTAAGAACATTTAAACATAGAATAGAAAAATGTCATATATACAATAAAATTAAGTACCTGAAACAATTGATAGCAGTCACGTTACTAACAATTGATGCGAAAAAAGCTACTGCTGTGGTAAGCGATGTAACAAACATAGATGGAAAAGCATGTTTCATTGTTTCCTGTACCATACGTACTAATCCGCCATTAGAAAGTTTCTTCTGTTTTTTAGATTCCCAAATTTTGCAATAAATAAATGCGTCATCTGCTCCAATGCCTGTAAAGAGATTTTTTTGTAATAATGTACATACTTATAGCATCTTTATATTTTGCTTATAATTATTTTGATACGCCAGAATACTGACCTACAGCTACGACAATGGCCAGTACATTCATAAAAGGAAAGAACTCAATATCCAAGACAAGAATATACATTGCATATGAAATACCAAGACTAAAAACCACAGCAAAAATTGTCGCTGTAGTCACCACTATAGAACCAGTATATGCCCAAATGCACAGGGTAACGAAGATAAAACCGCCGAGTACCAAACTCGAATCAGACAATAACAATCGATCAAACAGTATACTTTTTAGGCCAAGTTGCATGCCTTGAACACGGAAGTTTCCATACACTAAATCATCATTGTCTATTTCTTTGTAAAAATCTAAAGTCGCAGAGCTTGCCGCAATTGGAAGAAATAACATGGCAGAGTGCAATGTCGAATTTCGTTTGCTGTTGAGATCTGTCTTCTGTAACAATCCGATCAATGTCCGATTATTAGAATCAATAAGCATACCTATTATTGTTAAAACAAGATGATATTGAAACAAGACATACTTCCTTATCAGAGCTCGGAATAAAATTAACATCCAAAAGATAGTGTAGCAGATGGTAAACTGCATTTCTCATATAGCATTCGACTGGCACGTGTTTTTGGCAATTAAAGTCTTCTGCACAGTTAGGCAACAACTGACGGTCATGATAATATTTAGCGCATTTTTGCAAAAGTGTCTTCACTCTGCTCAGATCGTTCTCCGTTACTCCCAAGCAAGAACTGCGATTTGATAAAAGTGCCACATAGTTAGCTGGCGACCAACTTCTACAACATTTGTGACTTTCCACACCGTTGCGCTCGATTTTCGTCTGACACAAAGATGGAAAGTGAACATTTCCACGAAGTACGCCATCAATATGACATTGAGCTAATATACCATCCATCGACCATAAATTTAAATTTTTATTTTCTGATTCTACAGTGATCACAACACGAGCGTACGCAGAACTTGGTAAATTGCAGAAAAAATTATCACTATCTAGATGATCTTTCTCTTGAGTCTTTTCATCCTCTATATCTGTGTTATGCCTATCTTTTAATTCTAGTAATTCTTTCCATGTATCTTTCTCCTCGTTACTCGATTCTATGTAGTCTGTGTTATTTAACACTTTCTTATGTTTCTTTCCCTTTCGTTTATTTTTATCTTTTGGCTTTTTTCTAAGAATACCCTGAGTAGGCAAGCTATGATTTTTCATATTTGCATTAGACTGTAAAATCAAGAAAAAGTTTAATAATACACTTTGCTACTTATTCAACATATACTAATATTACTAAATCAAGCTGATTACATAAACATAAACAAAATATATACCTGAGAATAAGAATAATTGAAAATAAGAATATAGGATAGCTGAAAGAAAAAAATATTATCATGTGTACCTGTTGAGTTGATTCACGTATATATTGTTGATATTCTAAAGGATTATCCGTAAGGTCGCCCCTTGGTTTCGAAGCTTCTATTAAATGTTTCCAAGCTGTCAATCTTTGCGCTAAAACTGTGCCTCTTGCCTCAAAACCCTGTAGTATAAATATTCCGTGTTTAAAATATCAATTGTATAGAATTTGCCTTTAACTCTTACAAATAGTAATTCATGCGTCTACGTACCATTTGTGGGTCCGAAAAATCTGGAAACCTTTTGGTTGTAAGCGGAATAATTAGGCATATCGAAGAAAATGTAAAAACGACCAGTAAAATAATATATGGGTGATGAGCAATTACACGAGGAAACCAAGGTGCTTCCATTTCTGTAAAGATTTCTTGCTTCTCTGTATATATGTATATTATTTTTATATCTATTTTAAATATATATCTTCACACGTGTAGTAGATAAATATGTAATATCAATATATGTGATAAATCAGTCGTCATTCATCATTCGTCGAACTCGCGATAGTATTACCAAAAATACAACTCTCTTGTATCACACTATCATGCTCGTCTCATTTTATTCAAGTGACATATGCCAAATGTTTTCAGTCGAATCAATTTGTAATAGCGTATAATTTTAGGAGCATCGGAGTAAATTTTAGCGTCCGAACCGCAGAAACGACCCCATACGAACGTGACGAGTTTCAGCATACGAGCATAATAAGATCGTTCAAAATCCGTAAATCCTTCTTTTTATTATCATGCCATTATTCAGTCATATCGAATGCGTCGTACTTGCGATTTCCTGTTAATTTTTCTCGCGGAGAAACCGCGTTGTGCGTCTACTTCGAATAACACAGCACGTGTTTACATTAGTTATAAATGGTACGATCCGATGCTGCTGCCCGGCTGCTGGACGAGACGCTTTTCTCGCGCATGCGCGAGTAAGGCTGAGTTTCCACTGAGCGCGTCACGCGTCGCGTCGTCTGTCGTTAACCAATCTAAACATCCCGTCGCAAATAATGTAATAAAATAAGATGTTTTGATTGGTTGCAATGGATGACGCGACGCGTGACGCGCTTAGTGGAAAGTGGAAACTCGGCCTAAAGATAACCAATCATAGGTCTGTTCTTTTTAACTGAACTTATTGCACCGTTTACCTTTCCTCTTTTTTTCTCCAACGTGCAAAAGTTTTGTCAAAAACAAGAGAAACAAAACGAGAAGGAGCTAGAAAGAAAGAGAAAGCGACAGTGAATGTACTGAATTGTGTAGATTTTGACAACATCGCCTTATGGCCAGACTCTTAATTATAAGGTCTCTAGTTATGAAGGATTTATCGGTCGAACGCCGGACGCGGTGTGAATCCTCCATTATCGCTAGATGATAGGATCGCCTTCTTCATCATTTCCGGAATCTCGCATGGGATAGGATAGCCGATAACGCATCTCTCCATGGTAGGGATAGCTCTACGCGCGTTGTCACGCGTGTTATCTCGCGCGAATCAACCTATCCCACGTAGTGCATCGCATCCGTGCTCCACGTATCTCACAAGTGTATCGTGTATGCACGTGTGCGCACGTCATATTACCCGCTGCAGACGTAACGAGTAACGAGAGACGACAGACAGCTCGAGATCCTAAAATATTGTCGCGTCCACGGGAATAAGACAGTTTTTTTCGTACGTGCATATTACGCGGGTTTTTTTTTTACAGTTATCGTTCTTTCTCAGTCGGGGGTCGAGATACACGAGATTCTCAAATCGCCCGTAATCTTGTTGTACGTGCAAGATTGTTTTGTATCCGATCGAATCATCTGATGTTTACGCTCCACTCAGCACGTAGGCGTACTGATGACACTGATGTGAAAGGAGAACGGCGAACTGAGCCTGAGCGAACCCCCAGCCGCGCTGTCATTTGCACAGTCTTTGCGCCTTTTATCACGGTCTGATTAATGTCGCGACAAGTCAGTCGCATCAGCGGCTTTTCTATGCTGAAATGAATCCCGAGACTGGTGGAAGAATGTTCTATCGGCTGCTCCTGGCGATCTTGCTTTTCCACTTGCAAGTAGGCGGAAATTATTTCGGGAGTAACTCCAGGAAAGATGATCAATGTTTTTGCAAGGTATTGAACGTCATTCTTGACGTTATTTCCTAAGATCCAAATTTATGTTTTGTGAGTTTGCTTTTACATACTTGGAGAGAAAGTTTTAGAGATTACATTATCTCTTTATTTATTTACAGCTTTTTAATAAAATAATTATAATGAAAAGATGATATCTTGGTTGAGATATTTTAATGTAATTGTTATATTTTTATACATGCTGTATTTATTGTATTATATAGAAAATAATGAAAATTACAGCTGAAAGGTTCTGTGGATGACTGTGCTTGCAACGTCGATGCCGTGGACCATTTTAATAATATGAGAATATATCCGAGAATTCAAAGTCTTCTAGTCAGAGATTATTTTAGATTTTACAAAGTGAACTTGAAACAGGATTGTCCGTTCTGGGCAGATGACAGCAAATGCGCTATACGCTACTGTCACGTGCTACCTTGCCAAGATGTAAGCATTTTTTTATATCAAATATTATTTTAAATAAGCATTATCACATTTGTCTTTTTTCTATCTTCTATAATTTATTGTAGGACGATATTCCTGAAGGTTTAAAGGGAGATATTCCAAGAGATACCCATTTCAACGAAAATCCAGTAGATAAATATAGAGCCGATGCGCAAATTAATGACTGTAGGCACAGTGCAAAAGATCATAATATAGAACTCGGTTTCCTGAACACGACAATTAGGTAATTAGCAGGATATACGTTAATACCAAGTAAAAAGTTGAAGATAAAGTATAAATCTGATTACAGCTCGGAGAACTATAAAGAATTCGAACGATGGCAACAGCATGACGATGCCCAAGATAATTTCTGCGTAAAAGAATCTAGTCCTGGAGAATACGTGGATCTTTTACTTAACCCTGAAAGATATACGGGATACAAGGGAACCAGTGCACATAGAATATGGCGGTGTATTTATATGGAAAATTGTTTTAGGTATATAATTACAGTTACATCAAACGTTACTTATGATTTTTTTTGTCGTGTCAATTTTATTCGAGTCTATATAGCAGTTTATTTTTTTTCATAGGCCTGAAAACTCACCTCACATTTTTATACAATCTTCTAAGATGAATGGTAAGTCATGCACTTCATCAATTCCATTCTTCTTCAACTTCATGTAAACCTATGGAATAAGTCAACATCACATATTTTTTCATACGATGTCTACATAGATTTTTACTTGCTTATTTTTGTTGTAACTTAAGATTATGTTTTTAAATTGTTTACATAAAATATGATTTTAATTCACTTTAAAATAGGATAGTAAAAAATTGAATAATTATACATTTAACATTAAATCGAGCATTATTAAATTCTTATTTTTGTTCCTAACGAGAATATATTGTTTCAGGAATGTGTTTAGAAAAACGAGTTTTTTACCGAGTTATATCCGGTTTACATGCCAGTATCAACATCCATTTGTGTTCAAAGTATTTGCTGGTCCCACAAGACAGTTTACAAGTGTCACCTAACAATCAATGGGGTCCCAACCTGGATGAGTTGCAAAGAAGATTTTCTCCTGAAACAACAGGTGGCGAAGGTCCAAATTGGCTGAAAAATCTATATTTTATTTATTTACTTCAATTGCGAGCTCTAGCCAAAGCTGCGCCTTACTTGGAAAGAGAAGAATACTATACAGGTAACGAAATGGATGACGAAGATACAAGATTGGCTATGAACGATATTTTAAATGTTGTTAGGTAAGTATTCTACGATATTTCATGTATCTTAAAACGTATTAAATAATTATAAATTATTCGTGCAATCTGTATTTTAGATCGTTCCCGGTTCATTTTAACGAAACGGTTATGTTTACCGGTGGAGCAGAGGCACGATTGCTGAAGGAAGAATTTAGACAACATTTTATAAATATTTCACGTATCATGGATTGCGTAGGATGTGACAAGTGTAAACTATGGGGTAAACTGCAAATCCATGGTCTGGGCACTGCGTTAAAGATATTATTCTCAGGAAAATTTGATAAATGGGAACCAACGCTTAATAACCTTAATCGAAAGTTATTCTTCCTAGAAAGAAGTGAAATTGTTGCTTTGGTCAATGCTTTCGGAAGGTAGATACTTTATATTTCTAATTTTTATATAATAAAGTGAAAGTTCTTCGATTTATTAACAACGTGTAATGAATTTTTTCAGGTTATCAGAAAGTATTTTTGAATTAGACAGATTTCGCAGAATGATGAGATAACGTATTACCGATTTGTAATTAGAGAATTTCCAGTACCACTACGAAACATCACGTAAACACATCACGTCGCTCAGATTTTCTACTTTTCTTTTTTATCGCTGTCTTTATTTATAGAGAATTTTGTTGCATCTGATCTAATTGATTGAATTGCACGTTTGCATTAGTATTTTTTATGTTGCATTTTAAAATAATTTATTATAATTATATATATTTATATATTACATATTATAATTAAATCATTAAGAATAGATCTGATCGTATTTTATCTGATCAAATTTCACACAAGTATCCTTTCTGTGCAAGAATATGATCTATTGGAATGTAAAATTTTGAAACTATGTAAACGTCAGTTCCATTGTCAGCTGCAATTAAGTTTGGACTTTAATTATTCGTTATCTCTTCCGATACTATAGGAAAGCTGTACATACATGCATACATATAAATATGCATAATATATAATTAAATGATAATATATAAGGACCGATTGCACCAGTGTTTATTCATGCAAATCAATAATTAAGTTTTCTTCCTATATTGTATTGTAACTAAGACTAGAATATAAAACGAAACTGAGAATACACCAATCAAGGGAAAAAGTTATAGGTATGTTATGCAAGTGGTTATCATACGAAGAATGTAGCTAGATATATTTATCTCGTAAGACTGGCGTCCGAATTGATATTTTCTTCCGATTTGTATAGCTTTCGACTCCGTCTGTGATAAATATTTTATCTAAGGCAACTATTTACATAACTTAAATTTATGTACATTATGCTTGTTTGGGTTTTGTTCATACAATACATATTTTTATAATCGATGTGACATCAAATCTTACTCATGTGAGTGACTCATTATTTATAAAGATATAGAATATCTTACAGAATTATTGTGTACAAATATATAAATACTTAAAGTAATATATATTGTGCAATAATCTGATTTGTACTTGTGAATTTTTGCACGTACACGTGCGTGTAGGTTTTATTAATATTATTAGACCGAAGCTTACGATATGCTATATCAATATTTTATAAGGACGATATAACGTAGTCATATAAATGAGGAAATAGAAAAATAAATTTGAGTACGACATTCCAAAAATACTCCAATATAACTTCTTTGTTACTTTTTTTCAATCGAATTCCGCCCTTTAGGAATTTTGAAATGCAGATAAATCAAGTAAGCTACGAATTTGAATTTCAGTGGCTGAATTCTCGATGTTAATTTAAAAATAATTTGCAAAGTATAAAATTTATTTCAAAAAAGTACGAAACCAAATTTAATTCGCTGCTTGTCGAAATGTATTTCTTTAATAACTTTGATTTTTCTACGGTATTGAAATGCGTACTCCAAGACGTCTAATCTTTATTTAATTGGAGTGAGAGATAAAAATTTGCATATAAATATAGCTACCTTAAAAAGGCATTAGAAATGAAATAATATAGGCTTACATATTTTTAAGTTACTCAGGACATATATGCGCGTCAACTTTTTTTTAGATAAGCATATGGTATTGAACCACCTCAAATCGACACAATTAAATGTTAAAATTGTTTTCCCTCCTTTTATTGTCGATTTCCGACCCAATTAGGGCAAGATATCACGGTTTAGCTACGAAAAATCATATAAGACAAGCATGACAAGCATTCAGTGCGTTTAGAACCATGTCGGAACGCACGCGCGTGTTTTCGTTCCCGTGACTGTCTCACGTTCTCCGCGAATCTGTCAAGTTCGGAGTTGGGCAGTTCGGGCAGTTCGGCTCGCGCAGCGATGATCAGTGGCATCAGTACTGATCAGTGCGCGCCCCGGCACTCCCGGCTCCCGGCCGCTCGACTGCGAGTCATGCTACGCGGCACCACGAAGACCTGAATCTCTCAACGTGCTTCTCCCGCGCGTTAAACATGAGTCACGACGTCGTTTACGACGTCCGTCGCACAGCAGCCGCCGGCAACAACACGGGTGTGTCCGTTGAATCGGTCGCGCTCCGATACGGCGCGGTCAAGTGTGCCTCGGTGCCTCCAGCTCCAGTCGCCGCGGCCGCCTCGTCGTAGGATAAGTGTGTCGACTGTCGGGTGCGTACGCACGTACGTGCACACGCCGCGCCGGTATGCACGGCCGACCAGCCGCCACGATGACCGCGGTGACGACGGCGGCTGGCGTCCCACGGGACAAGAACGTCGCCTGCAACGGCAAGGACGACGTGCCGGTGGTAACGCAGTCCGCTAGGAGCAGACCTAGGGTGTACAAGATCGTGGTGTTGGGCGACGGCGGCGTTGGCAAATCAGGTACCCGTCATCTGATTGATTTATATCGGAGTATCCGACTGTTTCAAACGTTTGAGTGTGTATACTATTGTAATGATTTGCATGTCTTGCATTTCAGCTGTCACTTTGCAGTTTGTCAGTCACAGGTTCCTGGACTATCACGACCCTACGATAGGTAAGTTGCGTTGTATGCAAAGAACACTGGAACTTGCTACCTAACTCTCCTGTACAGGTAGTGTGATTATTAGTAGAAAGCAAACTATAGGATGCATATGTACAGAGTCCGAGAGATTTGACGCCTAAATTTGAGTTTTTGAGATTAATGTGAAGGGAACAATGATTTTTCTTTTATTCATAGAGGATTCATATCAGACACAAGTGGTCATCGACGGCGAGGCAGCTCTCCTCGATATTTTGGACACAGCCGGACAGGTTCGAGACTCATACGTATTACAATGGTTACAACATTATACAATATATTGACATGTGTTCTTCATCCATTCTCATTTCTCGTATAAAACAAATGGGAACGGATCCTGACTCTGTGTATTATTGTAAACAGGTGGAATTCACAGCAATGCGTGAGCAATACATGCGATGCGGCGAAGGCTTCATGATATGTTACTCGGTAACGGATAGGCATAGCTTCCAAGAGACAATGGAGTACAGGAAACTAATATCACGTGTGCGCGCCAACGAGAACATTCCTTTGGTACTGGTCGGCAATAAGTTTGATCTACAGCATCATCGAAAGGTACATACATCAGATGCTGTTGAGTTGACCGCGATATATCCGATATTAGAAATTGCGAATACATCGCGATACACGTGGCGTGCAAGAACAATGAAATATTGATTTCTCGCATACATTGAACTCTCGGCGCCTATTTTAGGTGACCACGGAGGAAGGCAAGGCGCTGGCGGAGGAGCTCGGTTGTCCGTTTTACGAGACATCCGCCGCTCTCAGACAATTCATAGACGATGCATTTTTCTCGTTGATCAGGCAAATTCGCGCTAAGGACAGATCCCGCAATTTACATCGCAAGCGCAGCCGTTGGTGGCGAATTCGCTCGATATTCGCCTTCATTTTCCGACGGAGGAGACATGCTTCCCATCGTGCTCCATAAAATTGGTTTTCTATAATGAGTTCTTTAGAGAGATCATTGAACCGACGTACGGTAGCAATGACGGGAGTGATATCGTAGCAGATCACAACGAAATAGTTGTTACCCATAATTTTTTATAATTTACGCGATGCATAGTTACCCTTGTTTAGAGACTGACGAATTCACTAACAATTTCACTGCCTTATCATTGACCCCAAGACGTATTTTCAATATAGAGCAAAGTGAAATTGTCAAACGGACTGGAACGCACATTTTGTGCTCATCTTAGACCTGAGATCTCGAATTAATCATTCGTGCTGCTCAATTTAAGAAACATAGAGCATGATACATAGTAGATTTACATTTCCTGTAGAGGATACAGGATACAGCATATATACTTGTGACTTCCAGTTTTCTAGAATGACCGTTTCTTCCGCGACATTTATTTATCTCGAAGGCTGTTAATGTTTATTTAAGTCAGGTTTCACAAAATATCAGTGGCGATAAATATAACGGAACCTAAGGCAACTAACTTTAAATAAGTAAATATTTCACAAGTCTCTAATGAATCATTTGCCTGATAGTTTTCTGATAGTAGACAACGTTCAAATTTTAGTTTAATATTACATAACGTACGACCAAAGAAAAGTATATGAAACGTTAATGCAAAGCAAGAAGTGATCCTTGGCAATGCAGAGAAAAAATGCAAGATATTGTGCAAAAGCTTTACAACATAAATAACTGCAATTTTAAAAAAGATATATAAAATAATTGAATTTTATTTATTTTAATTTAATTCAATGTAAATATATATCAAAGACTATGCTGCTACAAATTATGAATGAGAGCTATATAAATTATAAAAGTTGCAGTAAGTTGCAAAGTTTAGAATTGTTATACATTTAGTATTATTAATTATTATTAACGTAAATTTTATGATCTCTAAAATATCTCGAAAAGACATTTCTCTATCGATACAGATAAATATGTCTACTACAGACATAAATAATTGAACTGGCAATAAAAGTAAATATTATATTATTTCTGTACAAACACAAAAGCTCAGAAAAAATATCATGTAGGCTTTAATCGGAGCTCATATATATAAATATTATACTCTAATTCAAAGAGCATTCGAGTGCAGTTTAATATTTACATTAATTATCCTATGCAGCGCTTGTTAAATACATATATATATAATTTTATATAATTTTTAAAAATTAATCTAATCAGTCATTAATTATTTTTTAGTCATGAACTAGTGATGAAAAATTTGTAAAATAACAATTATTTTAGTACGTAACAATCATTAAGACGGAAATCCGCATACTAATTATCTAGTCGTTACTTAATTTTTCCTAGTCACATTTTATATTTCGTTGTAATATATTAACATATTATTTTAATCATAGGGGTAACCCGTCGATTAACGCACAATTTTCCATAATAATTCTCGAATGTTTTGTTACATATTATTATACAATATTGTGAATGTATATGCATATATGTGTATTATTACATAGTGGGTGCGTTCCGGTTCACGCATGACGCGCCTATAACATCACTTATCCTTGTTTAACATTTAATGAACAACAAGGATAAATGATGCATTATGCGCATCATGCATAAAACAGAACGTACCCATACTGTTAAACGAGACATAGACATATTGTTAAATGAGAAATAGATTTTTATAATATTTATTTAATATTATGTTTGTATAACTTAACATTTTCTATGTTGAAGTCAGTTATTGCAAGTTCATATATAATGTATGTACATATAATATACATATATATTATGTTATTGACTATTAATTAATTTTATAGTAATAACAGCAAGTGTGACTATTTGTAGCAGCAAATATAAGTATTATTGGCAGCATTTATGATAATGGTTTTGCAATATATAAAATTCATAAAGAATGACCGTATCGATTAAAATAAATATACCAATATATATATATATATATTGCATGTTTAGAGAAATTTACATAATGCGACATTAAAACATGAAATATTCATACATTCATATCAGTAAAAGAATATTATAATTATTGTCTTAGAATTAAAAAAATGAATAACAGAAATACCCCTATTAATGACATAAAGTCATCATCACCATATATAAAAAAGAAAAATTGCTACATGTCATTAAAGATATAGGTAACGTTGTCATTTTATATATCACGTCATTTATTAATTAGCTGTCAAATAGAGAGATAAGCCTCAAACATAATACGACACAAATTATGGATCTCGTACATAATAAGAGAACATAATGGAAAATATAGTGACAAGCATGTAGGGAACAATAACTTATAATTTACGAAGACAATATGATAATCAACGATCACTTTGATGTTATATTTTTATTTCATTTACATAACAAATTTTAATAATGTATAAAATATTGAGAAAAAGGAACGGCAAGCTAACGCATGTAATCTTTTACTCAATAAGTATTTAGTAAACTTGATGCTGTACTACACAATAGTACAAATAAACATCACATAAGTGTAAACCGTAGGGATTTTGCAATGAAATTATGAAATTTTATGTAAGCTGAGTATATTTTAGATATGTACTAACAAAGATATACAAAACTGATATATTTCACATCATGGATATAAAATAATTTTACAGTAAGATGTAAGGAATGTAAAGAAATAAAACTTTAAAATAACTAATTAATATCATGCCTAATTTTCATAATTAAAAATTTGTTACAAACTTAAACTGTCATTATCTTTGATGGAAGCCGCAATAATACTTTTTTGTATCAAAATTTATTTCCATTATCTATCAAACAAGACTGCAATAAAACTGGCAAAGAAAAATAAACAAGTATAGCTATTTGATTAAAAATTTGGCGCATTCTTATATTTTTATGTAAAACATTTACAATTTATTGCGCATAGAGCTTCACTATTTCCTTTAAGTGATACAAAATGCTTTATCAGAAAATTATTGCAGCACGTCTTATGTCTAAAAATTGCTAATGTAATAGCTATATTGGCACTCATTTTCAGATCTCTCAATGATCACAGTATCCGTTTATTTGTGGCATCTTGCGTTTTATCTTCTTCTTCATAATTGTCTGGAAGTAGCATAGTTTCTTCTGTGCTTTGTATGTCATCTCCATTGTTATCTACATAAATGATTAAAAAAAATTAAAAAAAATTATTGCGTTTTATTGTCCTTTTTCAATTGTTTTAAAATCCAGTTTTCCATGAAATAGAATAATACATATGTAGCAATAATAAAATAAAAAAGTAAATCTAATTAAAAATTTATAAAAAGTAAACTAATAAACTTGTAAAAAAAAAAAGTAATAACAGGAACACGAATATCATGACATCATGACTTTTATAATTTGTAACATTTCAGTAAGTGAAAATTAAATGTTTGCAATGATATGTTTTAAAGTTCTAATTACCACGTGCACGATTTTCAGGATCGTCCAAGTCGTTGGCAACTGGGATATCCTGTTCTGCGGTATTATTTGATGGTCCATTGGCTTTCGATTCCGTTTCAACTGAAAGCCATGTAAGCTAAGTTACTATACTAAAGTAAAAAGTTCGTATGTATTTCTGAAAAATTTTAATTATTATTTATCGTACAGAATATGCAAATGACAACTGTATATATAATGAGAATCATTATTATAAACGCGTTAGTAACTAATAATTATTAACGCAAGTTCCATCAGTATTTGTATATTCCATGCGTGGTTAATATAAAATACGTTAGTTTTTTAATAATATTAATTTTGCAAAGTTTTTATAATAATATTAATAATTATCCGCAACCAATCCTTTGGTATAGCCTGGAAGCAGGAATGTCTTGCTGAAAGTGTTGTACACGTAAGATGTTTTTCTCCTACCATAGATATAACTGTAACGTATTTTACGCTTGATATTTTTAGCAAAGAGTTAAAAATGTTACATAGTTTATCACATTTTTTATTGTTTGTATATAGTTTTATAGATACAAATCAAAAGTTATAATTCACATTAAATGCTTTCAATATATTATTTAATCATAAGATTCTATTATAAATACAATATTGCAACAAGCTGTAAATAAATCGCAAAATATACTACACAAACTTGATAATTCTCATAACTTAGTTATAAATATAATATAATCTTGTTTCACCCTACTCTTTATATAAAGGTTTACTGTACATAATTTAATTTTTATCTTTTTCTTTAAAATTAGCCTAAAAAAGAACAATGCGTTTAATATTGAAACAATGAAAATAACAATTTAATACAATTCTTATAGAAAAATAAATTATTGCATGGCACCTATTGACTCATCTATCAAAACTTGTGCCTGTGTTATTCAGCATATAAACTGTATAAGCTATATAAATACTTTATACTATTCTAATATATACAAAATTAGATCTTGTAAAATATAAGGAAGTTAACTATTACATTTTTATTTTATGAAGACAATTTTGTGTTACAATACTAAAACAGTCTTTTTCGTATGTGAAAGTTTCAGCGTTCGATATTAGAGAAATAATAGTTTATATATCATTAGAATGCACCCGAAGGGCCGAGCACGATCTACAGCTTAGTTAGAAGCGATACAGTGGGTTTTTCCTTAATAGAGCTTTAGTCACAGATGTATGAAAATGTGAATTATGTACAAATCTACTGCAAACTTTTAATTTCATGTCTGTGGCAGCATTCTCTCGCCTCGAGGACGGAGAAAGGTATCACTACCTTTCTTCAACATAGTCACTGAGAAACGAGGAGTATGGCGCACAGCACCAGGTGGGTCTGTTGGTAGGATCGGAATTCCGTGGAACTTCAAACCTCGCTGACCAGCTACGGATATTCTTACAGCAGACTCCGGTACAGGATGCAACTGAGACTTGTTAATGACCACTGTCGTTGCTAGATCAGCAAATTCCGACAATATCTTATAATACTGAGTCAGTTAAAAATGTGCAAGGGGAACGAGCTTGTAGTCGCATTAATTCTTGCGTGAGCAGCCCAATCGCAGTTAGAACTTAATGGGAATATTGACGAGATTTGAAAACAAGATGAAGTTGGAGGGTATTTTCTTCCCGCCGTTAAAGCAGGGTGCAATTAGCAATCTAAATTAGCAAATGTCTTCATTCGTACAATTATGGTAATACACTGCAGATATTTCTTGTATATTAAATAAAACTACGTAAAAAATTAATTTCGATAAACACTCGAATGCGGTTATTTATCATAATAGAAAACTCGGAACATGTGTCAAACGAAATTTGTAATAAAAATAATTATAACTTACGTGGCTGGAGATTTGGAGTTTCTTTCTTCTCAGGTGGTGAATTACAACTAAGCTTGATTTTATCTACTTCTCCTTTCAACTGCAAAATCACCATAAACCTTTTTTTTTACATTTTTTCAATCACCCTCAATTTTGCATAAATACTATTAAATAAAAAGTTCATACCCTATCTACTTCCTCTTGAAGTTTTTTATTTTCATCCCGCTTTGCATCTAATTGAGTATTAATGGTGGCCTTTTCTAATCTCAATGTTTCTAACGTTGCAGTTTTCGTGGCATCCAGTTTGTTCAACGAGTCCAGTTCACTTTTACACATAGTAACTGAATCCTCGAGCTCCTCGTTTCTCTTTTTAAAATCCATCTGCTGTTCCAAGCGGACGTGCAAAGAAGCCAATTCATCTTCCGTGTGTTTAAACCTTTGCTCCAAATTACCACGCAATGTTACGCACTGATCTCTTTCTTCAGCACTGAAAGAAGAAATTAATTTCTTCGTTAGAACGACATTTGAAACTGCGTCAAACATTTTTATACGTTACAATGAATAACAACCTAAAAACAGAATCTGGCAATGGTGATATTACAAACATGCATTGTGCAAGTAAGCCACAAGCCAAAATTTTCATGATAAAGAAATTCACGTATACGTGTATAGCTTTGTAAATTATATAACAATCATAATCCAGAAAGAGTAGAAACTCGCAATGTTTCTGCAATGGTCTGACATCAATATTTCAAGCAGCTACATTCATTATAAACATTTAAGTGGCATGGTGACATAACTCTTTGGTAACCACAAATACCACAATGACCACAACTTAATTATGAATGACTGACAACTGTAACTCGTCACAGAGACAGTGGTTAACAAAATTCAGGGTATACACAGTAGATTTTGCTTGATGCGAAGCAACCAGCAGCGAGCAGCGACGTTGCTGGCTCTCACCTTATTTTGAGCTGCTCGTTCAGGTCGTCGATCTGCCTGATGAGCTCCAGATTCTCGGAAGACAGGGTCCACCAGCTGCAGACGAGCATGAGGCACGCCAGAAGGAGTCCTCCGACCAGGAGAGGCGGGCATCTGCCTCCGCCGACCCTCATACCGTCGATTCCCATCACTCTTGCTTTCGTGTCGCGTATGCCGGATGCCGGTTCTCGCTCAGCGGAACATATGCCGAGTTGTCGCCGACCTGTTATCGCCAGTGCACATGCAAACAACAATCTACGTGTCACGCGCGTTCTTTTGTGAAACGTGAGCCGCGGCCGCGGCGCGCTACGTAACCCCACTCCGTGGAATGCGATTCTCGTTGGACGACGAGGAGGCGAATTCCACGTCGACGTCGTCGACGACGCGTTGCGTCCTGCGTCCCGCCTCTCTCAGGAACACTTTCGCATGATAACCGTTTGAAAACCGCGTATTTTAGGCACTTTACAACGGGGGCGTGCTCCGATATACGCTGCCGGCACCGGCAGCGATACGACAACAGCGTTTCCTGGATCCTTTTTACAGACGTATATACAGGGTGTCCCAGAAATGACGGATTAAAATTATACAATTAAAAATGTATGGGATCTCCGGGATTCTATCTCATCTTCGAGTATTCGATCGAATAACGTATTTCTGCCATCGCTTTTCGATATCAAGCGTTGGCTATTTGTTTATGATTAAACCTGAAATTTTGTGCGTGACTTTATTTGTCAGAAATTAAACGCGCAGAGCTTTTGTTATATTTCAATTAAAATTTTCATTAAAATCTTTTGTACATACATGTCGCGAGAGACGGCGACAAGTATTTCTCTCGTCAGTTTACTTCGTACATACATCTATCGTTTTTATCAACAATTGACGATACGCGATTTCTAGTTTCTAGAACACCACACACCACTGACAATTTCCGATCTTCACGCGATAACGTCGAATGATCGATCGACGTCTCTCGTTATTCAAGTCATTATTTCCGTTTGTCGGAAGTACTCGTTTACCATACATTCTTAATTTATTTAATTTCAAATAAAAAAACATTTCCTTCGTTTTCTGTATTTTAATCGCCATTGACGTGGCGCTCATTTGTCAGCGGCTACGAACTATCGGCTTCATCTATGATAGCGAAAATTGGAGCTCGACAGCAACGGGTACCCGGTATCATCAAGCAACCTTGATGATAAACGCACATGCATATTTGGTATAATTACACGATATAAATCAAAAGAAGTAAACAGCAAAAACAATTAAAAAAAGCCAAACTTCGAGCAATAATAGGTGTAATTTGTTTGTAATTTGTAATTTGAATATATAAATTTCAATACCTATTATTGCTCGAAGTTTGACCTTTTTTAACTGTTTTTGCTGTTTGCTTCATCGAGCGTAATTTTTTCGTCAAAAAAAGTAAATTCTCAAAATTAGCGGTTTCTCTAAGCATCAAATATACATTTGCTTCCTAACTTAATGTATAACGATAATGAACGATACTTGAATAATTAATTAAAATTCTTGATACGACACTTCGTGAATGCAGGGAATCGTTTCAACGATGGTAAATTGCAAATCGATTTTACGAGAGAACTTTTTCAGTGTGCTTGTCTCCATTTCTATACATAACTGTCGATGATGGAGAAACGCGTACGCTTCGTGCAAGAGTGATACAATCGAATAGATCCTTGAAGGAGATGGATTTATTTATGGTTTAGATGTTTAACGATCTATTATCCCTTCTATAGATGCTGAATCATTGCGCTGTGTGAAATCCGATGGGTATGCATTAGGAAAACGACCTTGCTATATCTTTCTCTTCACAATTCCCAACGAAAACATCGTGTATATCGACCTACCAGCACTATTTGCAATTTAAATGACTGGAGCAGCTTTACTAATATATGGAGCAGATTGAATTAATTCGACGTGAAAGAAACATTAATCTATGAAAAAGATCGATTGAACGCTACTGTAAGGTAAATTGTCATTTTGCTTTACACCCTCTTTCATAAGTAATAAAAGTCATAATCGTATTTCTTATGTACTTCATAATATCTCTGAAAAGAATTAATTAATCACCTTATTATGCCACATCTATAATTCTCTATTCATGAAAATTAAGTAAAGTAAGAAAGTTGTTAAGTTTTGACTTGAACGTCATACAATTAATGTCCTTAATTAAAAGTGTCTAAATTATAATACATTATTCTAATGCCAATACCTTTAAATTGCAGTATCACGCAAGGTGGAATTTCAGCAGACGAGCACAGGTGAACATCTACAAGCGACACATGTGTACAAAAACACCGCGTTTATTCAGTCCTCTTAATTATATATTTATATATAACATATATATTTACTTAACGCCGTTCCATCGAAGAGAATTCATAGCCGATTAGAGCGAACGGAAAATATATCACGGTCTCGATGAGAGAAAAAAATCAACGGGATCGTACAACCGGATTTACGGCGAGCGGTTCTTTCTAATCAACTAATTAACACAGAGTTGAGGACAATCGATTGTATATCATCGGTTGCGAGCAGTCCCGTCTGTGAACAGGATGAGACTGACGCGCGACTCGTCGTTTGTTCGCTTATTATCTCTCGACGAGCGCGAGATCGCAACCAGTAACACCGGTCCGATAAAATGCATTCCCGCTGTCGCGATGCACTTTTCGCAGCGATCGAAACTGTTCCGACGCTTATTTATATATAGTAATAGACTTGTTTGCTAGTCGTTTATGCAGTATTTCTTTTCTTATCGAGTCTAATCAGTTTTATCGATTTACTTTTTGATTTCGTAAAACCTTAGAAAAATGGAAATTCGACGCGCATTCAGAAATTTCTATCGATCACCTGACACAAGAAGATTAATAGCGTTTGTGATTCGAGCCGATTGCTTATAATCATTTTTAATAATTGTGGACTTGATTTATATTTTTTATATTTCCGATTATTAATATTGCTTATCGTATAAAATATATCCGAATTAGTAAAAGAGAACACGACAATATTTTCGTCAATTTTAGGACATATTTAATTTATTCGTGTTTGATTTTATTTTTTCGCTAATAATTACATCTTACATAATAATTAAAATTACACAATTGAATGATCCTAATTAAATTATACAGTTCAAGTAAATCAAGTCGTAATCATTATTAAAAATTAATAAATGTATCAGGGCGCAATGTATATTATTCTTTTCTTCCAAGCGGAAAACGATCACCACTTTCGGAACATCCGGTATTATTATTTTATTCATAGCGATGCACTTTGTATTGATACTTCGTAACGCGTTGGAATCGCGTGAAGGCTGTTTCGAAAGTGAACGAACCGATTGCATGCGCATCGTTTTCTTTTATCGTCTTTCACCATCTTTACTTTACAATATACTCGGCTATATATTCGAAGAGAAATAAAATATATCGTAAATTTAATGGCTTTTCCTGTATTTTTAGCGTTATTGCGTGTCAAGTGCCAGACGCTGGGATCGTTTAAGGATCACTTGTCGTAATCCGTATTTTTCAAACTTGATTATACCGATACTTCTGGGAAACATGAGCCGAGGTCGTTACATTATCCTTATTTGTCTGCGCCGAGGAAGAGACCGATTTACCTGATCGAAATAATCGCAAGACGTAGTTATAGGTAAATCGAATGGCAAAGATTTAAAGTAACTTAATTTAATTTTAATTTTGAAAACACATGGTTCATATCGTGACAGACGAGTGATTTGATCTTTTTGACAAATTTTTTTTAAGTGAAAGTCCGCGAATTGAAAGCAAACGTACTTGCTATCGACAAATTCAATTTCTTTTTGAAATGATTTATTGTCAGTGATCGGTAGCACTCGTGCTACACACGCAATTGTAAAAATTGCGACGCATTTACAGTGAGAGTGTGCACATTGTGGTATTAAATTCGTGCAATAAAAGCGACGGTATTTCCTGTCTAGACTCTGCAGTTGGAAAATATTGCACTAATCAGTTCTAAAAATAATCTGCGAAGCCATCGTGTTAGAGAAACAAATAGATATTTGATGTCTCTTCCATATAGATGTAAAAATGACTCATCAATGAAAAAGCAATTCGCTCTTAGGCTAACCATGCGTCTTAATTCTCCTGTTGTCAATCGCAGACCCTACTTAATAATGTCGTATTAATTAACTTACAACGCAACATACATTTTTAAATAGTACGAATATTTTTTATGCTCTTATATTAAGAAGATATAAAAAACGACGTAAAAAATATATCGGATATAGAGATTCTTTTTCATTTCGAATGCTACCGATTCTCTAACGTTATTGTTTTGCATTTTCATCGTTATACAACGGAAAACTGGAAAGGCAAGCATGGAACGGGACCTTTATACAAATACAATTTTCAGTGTACAATTATAGTGTTAATCAAAGATTTTTCTTTCACACGTACATCGGGTCTGCGATTAGGCACGCTAATTCCATAAATACAGCGATATCCGTGATATTATCTAACGTGAAGGACTTATTTACAGTGTGATTCAATGTAAATCCTTAGAAGACGTGTACGAGAGAGAAAGGACGTAATTAACAATTACAATCTTCGCTTCCTTACTTTTAACTCGTTACGTATATTCGATTTCATATACGTATCCTCTTACAATTCCTCTCGCACGCATCATTCCAATTTACACAGTTGTGGCTTATTATAAAACGGTATAGTTATATACTCATTATTACATATTGCGAAACTTTCGTCGTGTGATGTATTATTATAAATTGATTAGATACTCAGAAGTATACTAATCTTGTCCGGCGACATGTGTACATCGAACCAGGGGATCCTTATCAAAAAATACAAATCCGCTTAATATCATTGCAGGTTTCATGCAGTGAAATATCATCCATTTAGCACACATTATCTACGACGCGCCAAATTATATCCGTCATCGTCGAAATATTATCGCAACCTCTCATTATCCTATTATATCGCGCATAAATCACTTTCACCGTAATCTCCTCGTCGGTATTTTACTATTTTCTCGTACTAACCATGCGCATCTTTAAATATACGATTAAGGTTTAGTATAGAAAAAGGATTTATAGGAAAATGATGGTCCGAAACTGACATTGAATCTTTTGGTCTCTCGTACAGCAGATTAGTTTAGATTGAGAATCTTTTCAATCGGTAAGTATACAAAAATAAGATATGGTAGATAAATAAATTATGTATTTGTCAATCAGTATCCTTCAATAAAATATAAATGGCGACAATTAAAAAAAGAATTTATCTTGATAATAAAAAAAATTAATTTAGAGACGATATCTAAATTATTAAAGATTTAATTAACTTTGCTCAACTTAATATGCGTTGTCTATCGCATGATTTTTTAAATTATTGATATCGAAAGTAAATGTAATGATTCTATTCTTTTTCATTCTTAATTTATGACAGTTCTGCTCGATTGTGATCGAATAAAATGAGACAGGAATTAAATGAACATGTATGCTTTCGTTACTGCCAAACAAGACGTTATTTTTCGAAAAGATAACACGTTGAAATATTCCGAGGCTACACCAATAACTGTAATAATAATTTTGTTACGTGTCTTTTATTATATTTCCTTTGTCATCGCTGTTAATAATTTTCGGTATTTTTAAACTCAAAGAAAAAACAAAGTACAAAACTTGCAAATTCATAAAAAGATGTTTTAGTGTATGCATGGAAAATTATTAAAGTCAAAGTGCTCACAATTACACTCTTTCATACGTATAAAGCACAAAAAGTGTAATGAAGGTAAAAATTGTATATTGTATAAGAAATTTATCTATATTTATTTGCACGACATACTTCGGTGAAGAGTATAAATGCAGTGGTAGCAGGCGATTTACAAAGAAAGGGATACCGGTGAGACGCGTGGTGGTAGTGACAATTCCAAGATCTTTTTATGCACAAGGCTTGTGTACACAGATACAGATTAGTGTCATCTCCTGTTAACAAAATATACAAATAAAATTATACAGAAGATAACTTCTTGTTGATCATTAATAGTACCGAGACAGTCGTTCCTCTTTTCTCTCGTTTTTTAGAGGATCAACAAGAAGAACCTTATTAAAACAATGCATTTGAAAGTATATACCATTTAGTTATCCCATTTATATTATCATGTATTATCTTCATCTGTATTTCCAGGCAATGCTTCTAAGAATGTCGGGTATAAGAACCCATGTAAAGGGATAAACAATTGCAATTGTACATTTAATGTAAAGTTCATTGGTACCACGAGAGTAATCTCGTGGTTGGAGATAATCTTTCTATAATATACAGATTTCCTAGTAAAGTAAACTTTGTAAACGCAAAACTTTAATATAACAGATTGAGCGTTTGGAACGCTGTGTTAGTAGATATGGTGTTCTACCTTGCTTATGCTATAAATGGATAACGAAAAGCATATGTATATGGATAATCTAAAATAAAAATATGCGCTTAAATTATTGCAGCTTCAACGTAGCTCCAAAGTCAATTGAGAGAAGCGAGACTGCCGACAGCTTCTGTAATCAACTTTTTTCGATTGATTCGAAAAGCTTATACAGTATTTTGATTAAAATATAATATTATGTTCAAAGAAAGTGTGGAGTGTTACATATCTCCCTTTAATGTGACAACGTATGTTTCTCTCTTACCTTTCCTTCGCACATTAATCTTCCAATTATTTGCTATTTACTTGCCTTAGCACTATAAAAGATTAGAATTTATGTTAAGGACATACAGCCTACCGTTATTCAGATATATCAATATTCAAACCATTGTTTCGTTGCTGTCTAAAAATATCCTTAACTTTCCATGGAGTTTTCTTTTATCCACTAAAATATCAATAACCATCCTAGTGCCCGATCCTTAGAGATATTCATTAATTTTACATGTAGTAATTCATTTAATATATATATTATACAAAATATCTCTGCATCGTTGCAATTGTTTGACAAAAGCATACAAAAAGTAACTTAGTATTACACATGTTTAATAGGTAATTTTACATCACGAGTTGCTTTCTAGTATCGATAACGTATTCCTGTCGCATTTGGCAGTAACAAAAGTATCGGAATAATGTGTAGCTCCGATTGTCACGTTTAAAACTGGATCGATGACACAATAAAAGCTTCTCTTACTATGTAAAACTGAAACATAAACGAGCAGATTGAAATAGGAGACTAATTAAGGTTAGACAATATATATATATCTCCCAATTATTCTACCTTATCAAAAAGTATTTATTTTATTACCTCAGAATATGATAAACACATTTTTCTCAGTGCAAGAATTTTTATGTACACTAAATAACCTACATCTCAAAAGCGAGCTTTCTCCGCGTACAGTAGTGAATGCAAAAAGAATTGCAGATACTCCGTTAATGATAAATATATTATAAAGAATTTAGATGTTTAAAATAGATCTTTCTCGAATCTATATATATATATATGTATAATCGTTTAAACAAATATGTAAAATATCGAATATGAATCCTGTTCGGTTATTCATTCCCATATAACACCTCATACTCGTCAAACTAATCGGTTGTCAGATAACGAGGAAATCATAAAAGCGCGAACGTGTCAATCGTGATTTTACGTGATGCAAGTATGAGCATTTAGATGCGATATGTCGTACCGTCCGTTAGAAAACGCTATAAACATGGAAAAACTTACTTAACTGCAAAAAAATAACCATGTCGCCATTTATTAACGGTACTTTTTACAAAGAAGATTCTCGCGCACTCTTACGAAAAAATGGGATGACAGTGAGTAAGAAACACGGTACATAAAGTTGACGTTCACATACTGAACACTAAAAATACTTTTCTTCCCCAATTCTTACACATAGACTTAAGTCTACGGATACCTCTTTTCGCTCTATCTTTCTCTCTCCCACTTTTTCTCTCGTCGCTTCTTATCGCACGATCATGTTTTTCGTTTACTTGTTTATCACGTCGTTTAGCTGATAATACATTGATTTCATTATCGTTGTTAGGCATATAGAAATTAAATAATGAGTAGCGTTGCTCATGGGAGTTTCGGCTGTACGAGGCCAGGGAGAGAACAGGCTCACGAGAAATTATCACTAGCTGGTTCCATTTTCATTTTCTTCTGTGGGGAAGTCACTTGCGAACGTAGGTCTGTTGTATTGGCGGGTCTCTTCACTTGCGGATTATTTTTCACTGCAGTGGTTGGATCTGCTAATAATAAAGTGTTTGTTCAGGGGTGTATCCCTTTGAAAAAATCATTCAAATCAGACAAATCGCGTAACTCACCTTGCAACCACCTGACTTGAGTGGCTGGTCCATATCCCTTGTCGTTTCGTGCTGCTATTCTAAAGATTATGGCCGGTTTCGTAGTGGTGTCCACGTGAGCGGCATTAAGGGCACTATTGTTCACCGAACAAGAATTACTCGAACCGCAATAAACTCTAATAAAAGCTAATTGATTTGGATTCGACACAACTGTTTTTGGTTCTCCGTCATTGTTCAACGCGGTACTTCGCACTGCCAGGTAGACGGAATACTCGAGAATGGGTCCAACGTTGCTAGGCGGCGGTTCCCAAGAAATTTGTGCACCGTCCACGGATTTTGATATCTTTATAGCGCTCGGTGCACCCGGGAATCCCGGAAGACACGTCTTGAATGCCGCTACCTACAACGAAAATTTTATCTTTTATTTGTTGAAGAATTATCTTACTAAATAACATCGCAAGATATGGAATTGGATTTGTTACCTCGCTCCAGGCACTTCGTCCACAACTATTCACAGCGGCAACTCTAAATTTGTAGGCAGTACCGGGTTCTAACGCTATTTTAGCTCGTCCTTTAAAAACATCCATTGTCAAAGATTGCGTTATATCTAACGGCTCATCGTCAGGAAGATAATAATGTTGAACGGTAAAACTAGTTCCTTTTATCACTCCCACATCATACCATTCTGCCTCTTTTTTCTCCTCCTCGGTCTGTAAAAATATTAGTTAATGACAACGTTTGTATTTCATTTGATGTAATAGTAAACGATATACAAAATTAATAGTAGAATTTACCGGTTCATTTTTAACTTTTATCGTTGGCTCTGCCGATCCTAAAGCAGCAGTAGCCAGTGTTGTCAACGCTGTCGAATCATCTCCAGTTTCTGATCTGACATCGTTGATTTTTTCCTGTTTCTGATTTTCTCGCTTTTGAACAGCGAAGTCATCTTTTATCTCTATTTTTACGGGAGTATGTACTTTTTCCATTTCCTTTTCGAGAGGTGCGGCGACACCATTGACCGATGATACGGGCAAATCCGGCAATTTAACTTGTTCCGTAGGTGGCGTAGGTTTCGTAGATTCATCGTTCGGTTCCAATTTCATTTGGACGCTCGGTGTAACAGTGGGGACCATTACATTATCTGTCGGAGGCGATGTACTGTTATCAGTGATCGCCGGTTCATCGGTGTCATTCGATTTTACAGGAGAACTGGTTGGAAGATCAGTTTCCAGTTCTGCGGCTTCTTCTTTCATCTTTTCAACTTTAAGAGTATCGCTTTGGGGAGGATGCGATGCTTCCGTATCTTCGGTAAGTAAATCTTCAGTAATTAGCGGTTTTTCGTCCTCAGAAAACGATTTATTCTTTACATCTTTCACTTGGCTGTTCTCATCTTGCCGAGTTCCGTCAACTTCCATTGCCGAATTCGCGACGTCCGCTGAAGGCGTGTGTTCAGATGAAGCCTCCGCGGATGATTGTACTAAAGGCAACTCGGATTTTATTACGTCATTGACTATTGGTTCCTTTACCTCTTTTTCATTTGGTAACTCTGCATTGTCATCAGTTTCCATAGGTACTTCGTCACCGACTGGTGGATTATCAACATCTTCAGCTTTTTTGGTTTGACTGGTGGTGATCGATTCGGGAAGGTCGGCTGTTTTCGCTTCTTCTTCATCCTTTATGTCAATTTCCTTTTTTACGGCCGAATCCTCTGCCTGAATATTTTCAGATTCATTAACGTTTTGTTCCGTTATCGCCACCGATTCAGTGCCAGCCGATTCGCTGGCATTGTCTGAAGCTGGTTTTTCATCTACGTCCATTTTTTCTTCACCTTCCAGTAAGAGATCATCTATCGGACCATCTACTTGCGGAAGTACGAAGTTTCCGTCGCCGTCGACTTGCATCGGTTCTCCTGCACCCATCTGAGAAACTAGGGCGGCCGCTGTGGTCGCCTCGTTACCGTTACAGCTATCCTCCATTTTATCGTCGCCACCAGCACCATCATCTGTAGCTACCATGAATGATAAACCACCAGATGGTTCCTGGACTGGATCTATCAGACCAGCTTCTGCTGCCAATGCAGCTAATGCAGCATCGGTAGTAGCAGGACCGTCAGAAGTAGATGCTGAAATATCATTTTATCGTGTAAGTTAACGTTGCAACATGGCTTTTTTATGTTATATATCAAAACATAATTTTACCTACCTAGGGAGGCTGAAGGTTGTTTTTGCGAAGAAACAAACAGCATTTTGCTAGTATCTATTGAATCTGATGCGCTAGAAGTAGTTACTATGGAACTACTACTTGTTGGCAAAAGCGTTACCGTCTTTGCACTTATACCCGCAGGCATTTGTAAAGTCACTGGCTTTCCAGATACTGCTACCGCTTCCTATAATTTGATAAGCAAGTTTCAATATTTTCAATTAATATCTTGTAAAAAAAGTACATATATGTTTCTTGTTACACACTTACAGGCGTCTTTTGTATCTGCGGCACGGTAACGAGTTGATTTTTGCCAGTATTGAAGATGGTTTGCGTACCGCTCTTTGCAGCAATAGTCACTGTCTTTGGTACACCGCCTTGCCCCGGAACCGTGATAGTTAACGGCTTGCCAGCAGTTCCACCACCCATTGCCCCGGAGGAAACCACTATCATCTTGACACCCTGCTGATTCGTGACGTGATTGGTAGCTGACAACGGCAAGACGTTTACAGGAGTAGCTACGGGAGTAGCTCCTTGTCCTGCACCAGCTTGCGATGTTGTTACAGCTTGTACAGCTCTTAGACCAGAGCCTGTGGTGACCACGATGAACTGATTGGCTCTTCCGACTAGACCACTGTTTCCCGTCGGCTTAGTAATCATTATGGTTTGCTTGCCCGTAATGTTCTGTCCTTTGCTCATCGTCACTAAGTTGGATGTCTTCATAGTCGTAAGGATTTTTGATCCCGCAACCGTGTTAGGATTTACCAACCGCAATATTGTTGGTCCCTGATTGAGAGGTTTTGCGCCGGTTGCTTGGACACCTTTGCCAGGAATAAGGCTCACCTTGGGTACTGTGGCCATCATGCCTTGTCCGGTCTTCACAAGATGCACGATCTGCGGCTGACCGGGTATATTTTGGCCAGGCTTTTGCAGTATGATTTGCTTGCTCTGTTGTGGCGAGGCAGTGCGCAATACTGTGGCGCCGGGCGCGGCAAAACGTATCTGTTGACCTGGTTGAACGTTCTTCATCCTTATGGTGTTGGTTGCGGTCGCAGCTGCGACTGCAGTCTGTGGCACGATCGAGACATTGTTCATGGTAATCTTCGGGGTGGCTGCTGCTGCCGCGGCCAAAGCGGCGATTCCAGACATGGCAGCGGGCGTTTGACCAGCTGCAGTTGTAATCGTAGTAGTAGCAGTTGCAGTTGTTTGTTGTTGCTCAGTGGTAGCAGCTGCAACCGCCGTCGCTGCAGCCACTGTTGCTGTGGTAGTGACCAGAGGAGATCGGATACGTATAACGTTGCCGGTCGCGACTCTCGGGGTCATAGGACTCGAGGGCTTCTGCACCGCTTGCGACGGTACTGGTTTCTGCACGGGGCTCGCACTTTGGACTCGCAACGGAGTTGCCACTGCCGTTGCCACAGCTGTCGCTACAGATGCTCTAGCGGCAGCGGCAACAGGCGGTGTAGTCGGAGGAAGAGCAGCGACAGTAGTCACAGGCGGAGATGTGATAGGTACTGTCGCGGGAGACGCCACCATCGCAGAGGTTGTTACCGCAATAGGAGTACTGACGATAGGCGCAGTCGGCGTCGGTGCGCTCACTGAAGAGAAAGTAGCGGTCGCCGCTACCGGTGGCATGTCATACTTTTGTATTTGAAGGATATAATATTGCGCGGACGGGCTTGCTGTCCAGCTGACTTCCAACGTTTGCGTGGAAGCTCTAACCAACTGAACTCTGGAAGGTGCCGCTGGCTTACTGACTTCAAGATACCACAGATCTTTGCAACACACCTAAACCGAAAGAAGAATCATATTGTTAGCACAACAATATTTCATCTAATCGAAAGCCATGCCATCATAACTAACCCTAACCTGGTTGTTCCAAGCTTTGCGATAACCATCTCTACCAGACCATACGTAAAGTCTACTGTGTACACCAACAGCACAATGACCAGCACGAGCACGAGGAACATTTTCCTCCAAGGAATCAACGGTTAGTTGTTCCCAAGTAAGTGTTTCTAAAATAATAACATTTGATTTTAATGCTTGTTCTTGGAGAAGAACTTATTATCAAAGTTTATCCAACTGATTATTAAAATTAACAGTATAACATTTGAATAGTATACTAATCATGTATATATATATATATATATAATGATATAACAAAGTTACTCTTTTTGTTTTTCATACATATATATATATTTTTTAAAGTTTAATAATTCTAGATCATTATTAAAGAAAAAAAATGACAAACTTACCTAGATTTAAGCATGCTAGCGTGCTTGTGCATTTCCATTCTTTCTCGTGTGACGCGACTTTAACGTCATCAACGACTAATGGCACCCATCCCCCAAATACATACATTCGATGACCGATTAGGGTGGCAGTATGAAGCGACCGTGGTAGAGGGGTAAGTCCATGAACCACTGGCTTGTTCCATGTCATTGAATCAACATCGAGGAACCATAAATCACCTAGACGACAACCGCTCATACCACCATATATCACCAGCCAAGATTTGCCTGTGGTACGATCAGTGTACGCCACTCCAGTATGGGATTCTCTAGGAGGTGGCGCGTGTCCGTGCGTTTGCGGCACATCCCAGGCTGTTTGGCCATTAGGAAGGAGTTCGAGCGTGTACAAATCGTTTAAATATCTCGGAATATTACTTTTCGGATCGTCACTTTCATTCGCCAGACCCCCGAAAAGGAAGACCCTATTACCAATGAGGGTGAAACTATGCCCTAATCGTGGGCACGGCGGGGGCTCGTGCTTAGGTGGCTTTGGCCTCAAACGCTTCCATTCCCACCGACTCGCTTGTAATTCATACAGCTCGTTAGAATATTTGCCATACTCTACCATTCCACCGAAGACAAAAATACGTGTGCCATCGACAACAAAGCCATATGCTGCACAACCTGGCGGAATGTCTCCCTTTGTAGATGGCACGAACCATTGATTCGTTGCTGCAAAGATATACCTTATATAAATATCTTGATGCAAAATTAGATGCAATATTTATATGCATAGAGAGTTATACTTTTCTATCTTATATAAATAATGTTTTAATGCAATGCAAAGTGCAAAAAATTCTTTTCTCCTGTTTTGATTATTAGTCTATCAATATATGATATATATTCATAAGTATAAAAGATATGTAAAAGATAATATTAATTCGTTATATATAAATACATGTTATTTTACATTTTTATACATTATTATACATAATTATACAAGTATTTCATGAAAGTAATTTAATCAAGAAAAATTGTATCTAATTTAAATAAAATGTATGTCAATGTCTCTTGATAACATTAATTTAATATGCATAATTTAATGCATAATAAGAAATTTGCATACGTGAGATATCTTTTCAACTCTATAAACATTTTGTAATTAAAACATGTGATTTTGTTTCGGTAATAAATTTTTAATGAAACATAAAGCAGGATTCATCGTTTTTGATAAGATTATCTTTACGTCAATGGTTGGAATCTTGAGATTAACAAACAATAAGGATCTGCTCTTTCCAACTGCGCTATTCGAGCGTTGCATCTCTTTTCCCTTTCTCTCTGATGTTTAGATACGTGCTAATCTCATTTTAAATAATGCAGAAAGTGCAATGTAGTACAGCGGTAAGAAACAATAAATCTGACGAGTTATTTTTAGTCGCAGTCCATTGTATTCTGAACTCGGGAAAAAATTCGTTCGAGCGACGAAGGAAAAATGGGGAAAGAGATAAGTCGAGAAAATGCACGCGCATGCAGCTACGAGGAAGAGACCATATGCATTCCGGCTGTTACCATGGCGAGCTCGTGCGCGAGGCCAAACATTTCGAAATCGGGCTCGAAATGCGCGCAGCTACGCGCGCCGGCGCACGTCGGTCGGCGACGTAGCGCGAGAAAGATAATAATGTACGTGCGGGAGGCGGACGAAGGGCGGAGAGAAGGAACGAGAACGAAAGGAAAAAGGAGAAAGAAAAGGCGGAGGAGCGCGAACGTGGAATGACGGGAAACTCGGCGCGGTGCATCGTGGCGGGGCCGGGGGGAGGGGGGGACGCGGGCGGAGCGAGGGAGGGGGCTCGTTGGAGACAGCAATGGCCGCTCCCGCGCGTATAAACATGTAGAATGACAGACCGCGACGATTTCGCGGGTCTGTCGGGGCCCGAGCGCTCGTCTCGCGGGCGCGAGGACGCCGCGCGATCGGGCCCGACGGCGAACGCCGGGCCCGGTCGCCGGGCGTCCCGCACGGGACGCGGAATCGGCGCGTTCGGCCCCGGATCCGGCCGGTCACCGTCTTGTCAACGTATGCCGCCATATTGGTTCGCGGGAATCGCCAGGTACGGCGCGGCGCACGGCAAGGCAAGGGACGCACGGCACGGCCACGGCGGCGGTGGCGGCGTAACACACACGAGTACGCTCGAGCGGCGTTAACTCACCCGTGTTGTACACATGTAACTCGTCGACGATGCCCTCGTTCCCGCCGCCGAAAACAACCATGAGATCCTTGATGGCGACCGCCCGGTGGCCATGCCTGGGTCGCGGCTGGGGCCCGGTCGGATTCGCGATCCGCTTCCACTTTAGCATGGGTGCCGCCATGATGACCGTCGATCACATCATTTTTTCATCCCGCGCGATTGTCCTTACACCACCAGCATCACCACCGTCGTTTTCGTCGTTGTTGATGTCGTTATACTGTCGTCGCCGACCACTCGACCAGTCGACCGTAGAGCGCGACGCTCGGCGAACGTACGCGGGCGTCCCCTCCTTTATCACAGAAACCGCGGCCCGTGTTTGTCCGTCGCGACGGCCGTCGTCGACGACCAAGGCGATCCTCGAAAGTCTCTCGACACTCGCGCAAAATTCACCGCTTCCGCGGGCCGCTCGAGCCGCGCCGTTCTCGAGGCCGGACGTCCCGATTCTAACCTCTCTAAGGGCGCCGTTTCACAGCGGCGGCGGCGAGCTCCTCCCGCACGCACTCGTATCTGCTCGGAACACGGTGCCGAGACGTCTCTCGAGCCGGCGATCGGCAACAGCGGGGCCGTCTCGCTCGTTGGCGCGCGCACGCGTTCCTCCGCACCTTCGATTCGCGAGAAAAGTCGGAAAGCAACTCCGGAGGCGCCGAGACTCGCCGCTACGAGAACGGCGTGTGTATGTGTGTCCCAGCGGCGCGCAACACGTACACACGTACAGAGAGGCGACGCGCGCCGTGTGCGTGCACGTCCGTATTTACGTATACGCGGTGTTTACGGCCACCGACAACGTGGACGCTAGAGCGTCGATTCAGCGACGCGCCGCGACCCGGGCGGATACGCGCTCGCGACGCCGTCCGCTCATATCGCGGCGATATCGACTTGGCGGATTCGATAATCTCGAGATTAATCGGCGGCGCGCGGCGTCGTCGACGTCGATTCGGGCGGGGGGCACGGGAGAAGGGAAGGCGCTTCTCGGTGCGCGCGCGCGCGATTCTCGGTCTCTCTCTCGCCTCCTCACCCGCTGCCGTCGCCTCCGTGTCCTCTCGCGGTGAAACCTGCGTCAAAACGAACGAAAAACGGCGCGGCAAGATATCACTGTGGCACGATCGAGCGACGCTGAGCGAAGCGACGAGTATCCGCGACCTGACGCTCGTGACGAGCGAGACGCGACGACCGGCCACTGGCGGCGAGCGATTCCGTCGTACTTATCGGGGAAACGGCCGGAATATTCGGTAGCTCGATGGCGCGCACGAGCGGTCTTCGCGGACCTCGTCCACCATTGCACACAACGCGTCGGTAACGAGCGGTAACAAGCGCATTGCCAACTGACGTACTGACGCCGCTCGCCGCTCCGCGGGGAAATGCAACTGCAACGCTCGAGCGATCAATCGACTGACTTCCTCGATTCTTCCCGTAGGAAGATCGATTGTCGTTTCTCTCATTCGATTAGTCCAATACGAGGGTAGAAATTCGTCACTGACGTAAGAATAGAAAATTCGACCAATCACATGTCCAGATAATTTTACGATGGAGTCAAATTGTCCAGAAAATTACTATTGGTCATTTATCCAAGAAAAATCATGTCTTTCTTTTTTCTAATATATCTTTGTAAATATTAGAAGTAAATATAAATATGTGATGGAGAATGAAGAAGCATTGCTAAAGTATTTAAATAATAAGATAATCGTGCATGTATATAAAAATATTGCAAGTTTGGAATAAAGGATTGTTAAATTCTAAATTTCATATACCTATATATATATATACATAATTCATTCATTTTTTAACATGTATTGACAAGTGATAAATTTATTATAAATGAAATTTAATTACAAGCTTCAGTCTTCAGTCCAACATATTCCTAACACATTTTAATCTCGCATATTGTATATCAAGGAAGTTGCCTTAATTCAACAGGAATCTGTAAGATTTTATGTGTAAATATTGCACTTCTTATACAAATATCGTTTATTTTTTTTATAAGTCATCCTAGTTTAAGAGTCATCATCTTTTATAACGTATATTAAATTTTATGTCCACTTTTGACAATATATAATAAAGCAGAGTTAGAGTTGCAAGTGCAATGCTGCAAGTTAAGATAGAAATTTTAGAAATATACAAAAAGAATTGTAACGTATATATTCAATTAATAGGCAACACTTGATTTGAAGAATGTTCAAGATTAATCTCTATTCATTTCACGGAATGCTAAAGTACAACTACTTTTGTTAGAATTATTTTTTGCTTATTTTGATCATACACCTCTAATTCAAAATTATTACAATTGTATATCTAGCATCTTAAAATTAAAGAAAACTGTATATTTCTTAAGCTTAAGATAAATAATCTTTCAATTTTTCCGATTGAATGAAAGTTCACAAATTGATAACAATATAAATGGAATATTATTGTTCTTTGCCTATCAAAGCGACTTCACATATTTTGCATACTGTTTCTTTAAACTGCGGATTATAACTAGCACCGCATAAGGGACACTTTACTTCTGGTTTTCCTTTGTAAATAGGTGTAAACGTGCTTGCGCACAATGAAAATGGATTATGTTCGTCATACGCTAGTTTATGCTCGTCGACAGGATTCTTGTCACAAGACTGAAAAAGAATAAATCAAAATTTTCATTCATGAATATTAATCATTTATATAAATATTAATTTACGATAAAAATAAAATTACCTGTAATAGGACCCGAATTTTTTGCGCAAGTTCTGGATTTGGTCCGAGCTCGAGTAATCTTCTCGCGAACGAAGCGGCGGTTTTGTAATTCTTCAATTTGTAGAACAAATTCACCGCTACTTGAAGAGTAAGAATCTGATGTACAGGTTGTAGATTACAGTGCGTGAAGTAAGCTGCCATTTCGCAAATCCTTTTCTGTTCTACTAACGTGGCTCTCGGCAAATTTTTACGCTCAGTTTCCATCTTTAAACCTAAGATATACTCGCGACAAATCTGAATTAGTTGTTGAGCTTCCGCAATATCTTGCTTGGTGTCGACAACGAGTAACGGTACACTTAGCAAGATACTCTGCAGTTTTTCTATCGCCTTGGAAAACTTTCCATTGGTCGTCAATTGATAGCACGCTTGAAGACGCTGAACTAGCTCGGCAAGGTGTAGTCCTACCGCA